TTTTGCTTGGCTGGCTCGGATAGCTACGTGTCTTCGAAAGGATAGCTTGTTGTCGAGGTGTACCCCTAGCCACTTAATCGTGTCTTTGTGGTAGTAATCGTCATTGATGTGCATAGATTCCAATGGTAGTTACTTCGTGGCCAAGATAAGCTTGTTAGATTTATCTTGCAAGTGGCTAGATGTAATCATTCTTTTCGGATCATGTTTACGACGCGATAGCGTCCTTTGTTAAGATCTACCTTATAACAACAATATGAAAGAGCTTCACAGAAATCCACTTTATGTCTTCAAGTTTAGAATCACGAGATCTATAGCAGTATTCTTTACATGTCAGGCGTTGGAGTTGTGTGATATAAACACAAGGTAAGGGCTGCGATAGCAAAGGGAGTTGAATAGTCTGCATTTATTATAGACGACCAGCCACTTAGCTAAAGTAGTGTTCGATAGGCGTGTATCTATAAGGCTAAGTTACACATGGCTAAGGAAGTCCTTTTTGGGCTAATAGACCCCAAAGAGGTCCGGAAGGGAATCAGAGAAGGCTAGGCTCTGACATTGGTTAAGCGGCGAGTGCCCTCCATTGGGGCCCCCATAAGTACGGATGATAAGCTGGTAATATATCATCCTTGGCGATATAATCACAGCTGACAGCGTCTGTGTGAGCCTTATGCCAGCCCTGTGACGTTCTGGTGCGGGGTAAGAGTTGCTCAATCTATTTCGACTCAGCTGAATGGACTTGATAGAAACACTTCTGTACCTGGTGTCATATCAAATAAATTTTGTCTACATACTTCCTTGAAGAAGAATTTAACAAATGACTATTCTCGACTCGAGTCTAGCCGTGTTGATCGACGGCGATAATGTCTCATCAAAGATCATCGCCGGCCTCATGGCCGAAATCGCCAACTATGGGACAGCGAGCGTCAGGCGGATCTATGAGGATTGGACTAGCCCGTCACTTAAAGGCTGGAAATCATGTCTTCTGAATCACTCAATCACTCCAATCCAACAATTCGCATATACGAGAGGAAAGAACGCAACCGATGGCGCTATGATCATAGATGCCATGGACCTACTTTATACTGGCCGCTTTTCAAGCTTCTGCCTCGTATCAAGCGGTAGTGACTTCACTCGCCTCGCATCCCGGATTCATGAGCAGGGCGTCATGGTATATGGCTTTGGAGAACGCAAGACTAGCAATGCTTTTGTTGCAGCCTGTGATAAGTTTATGTACTTTGACAGACTGAATGTAGAGTTAGAAGAGTCGAAGAAGCCATCCTATGCCGCTGAGGCAACAAAACCACACGGAACACCAATTGTAGTGCCTGATCGGCCAGCAAAGAGACTGATTGATTCAAAAGCACGTATTGGAATCCGTCTGGCGATCTCGGGCACAAGCCACAGCGACAATTGGGCCAATCTGGCTGATGTCGAGAGTTATCGGATTATGATTTCTCCTGACTTGAATGCGCGCAATTATGGCTATGAACGAATTCGTGAGGAAGCTACTGGGCTCTACGAACAACACCTCTGCCTCTAACTCCGTAAAGAACTAGATCTTCCACTTAACTTTGAGCACTTTCTGAACCACAAAATGTAGCTTGCGCGAAGTAAAATCTTCATTGCTAGTATCTCTACATGTTTCACAGCCCTCCCGCAATACAAGCATGTCATTAATAACTATACTCCGAATGCACCTGACCATCCCTGCCCCCAGCCATCCACTCTGCCACCTTGAGATACCCCAAAATCCCATGTCCATTCCCACCAAAATCACCGCCAAACTGCCTCACCATCGCATCAGGCAAAACATAGCGATACCCCCTCCAAGACCGAAATGCCCCATGATGGAAATTGACCGTCCAATCGCAGTGATTCATGAAATCCCACGCACGAATCTGGTATCTGTCGTACAAGTCATTCAAAAGGGTATAGTATCCCTGATCCCCCGCCGCAACAGCCGCAAAGGTGATGTGCTGCACCAACTCCCTGAGCACTTCGTCCCGAGCCCACGACTGCGGCGAGCCAGACTGGTCACCCCACGTGTGCCGGATCCTCTCAAGGATATCTGTAAACGCCATGCTATTTTTCAAATCATTAGTAGCTCCCCAGTGTTTTTTTTATTTGATCGCTTGAGGGGACATAGTAGTGCTTACATGCTAATCCCGCCCCCCATCGAAAACCCCGCGACAACAATCTGCTTGGGCGTTGCGCCGCGCGCAGCCATATCTCCCACTGCACGATCAAGCGCATCGAACGTTGCCTGTCGCATCGCATGCCACATGTCGCGATAGAAGCTATGTATACGATTACCATTTTCGAACACGGGATACGGAATTCCTAACCATCCCTTGCCATCGGTCCATGTGTTCATGTAGATTTCTTTAAGCTCCGAGCCGAGAAATGCGATGGTGATTTTGTCAGTGTTGTAGACTACGACGGCTCTTCGGCTAGCGTTGAAGCCGGTGTAGAGTTCTGAGATAGTGAGTTGCGGGTTTTGGTAGTGGCCGCGCAATGCGGCGGTTATGGCGTTGATGTCTGCGTTGAGAGTTGAGCGCCATAGGATGTCGGCTGCATCTTTGACATCGTTCCATTGGGACGGACCGCCTTCCAATCTGACTAGTCGCATTATGATCACTCTTGCTTTAAGATAGACGTGGATTGACTGAGGCGTATGCCCTTGATGTCATTGAATGCTTCCGCGGTAGGAAGTCGAGTCTTCGAGATGCCAGTGAGTGAGGCTGAAGGTATGAACTTGATATGTAGAAGGAAAATTAAGAGTAACTTTCTGTAATGAGGCGTGAAGACGTCTTGCTCGTCTGGCGGGGCAGGCTACTGCCGGCCTTTAGCTTTGTCTGTTTCAGAGTCGTTCGCGGTGACGATACCACACAGCGGTGCGAGATGCACCACTGCGTTTTGTTAGAGCAGAGCAACTTCTATATGCATATAAATGGAAGACTTGTGTCAGCGCCTAGCTGGCTGCATCGATGGCTACACACTGCAGTTGTGCCAGAAAGGGTGGCAGGAGCGGGCGCCTAATGTAACAATGGACGACGCGCGGCAAAAGCGGAAAAGAACACCCGACTTCTCTAGAAACAGATGCGGCACAGCGTGCTTGCATTCTTTTTTAATACACCTGATATGATTCAGCCATCATATGTTGACGTCTCCACACCAAGCTACTTGGCAATCATCCTTCTGCACGACGACATTCTCGGATTCCTGGCTTCTAAGCGCGCGGTAATGCCCAAATGTGAAACTATAGACTCGAGCATTTGGGCATTTGTCCCATAGTTCCAAAATGCGAAAAATAAATGCTAATGGAGAGGTTAGCAATCCCCTATGATGGTCGTTCCGTGGATGGCTGATAGACGTGGCAGTGGAGGATTACATACCGATACTAACACTGCGTTGGTTGGTTACACGGCGTTGGCCGATCACTGCTGTGCGGCTGCGTTAGACATTTTGTAGAGTATCACAGAAGTGCACGACATTCAACTACTCACACGAACTGCAGGCATAGTTACCCGAGTGTTTATAGCTATGCCTTGCTTTCATAGAAATGGAATAATTCAAATTGAACAATGTATTCCTGGCTCCAACTCTGGTAGTGAGACAAACTATCCTGGGGGTGCTCCCCCTCCTGCAAGTCAATTGCAGCCCGCTTTCGCTTTAAACTATTCATCCTTTGGTGCAGTCCCAGAGTAGCGTTGTAGGGGGTACTCGCTCTCTGGTGAAAATCTCTGGTATCTGATTCCATTCGGCATCTCTGGTTTTTTTGGTTGATTTTGGCTCACCCATAAGCACATATGCCTGCCGAGATCTGGAGTGTCGCATAACAGCTGACGAAACATGCCAGACTTCTGAAGCTTTGCGATTTGGGTCCCTGCATACCAGAATATGTGACATCTTAGAGGATCCTCACCGACCCTCTCTATAATTTCCTCACACGCAATCCGGAGCAGCTCACAAATGCTTTCATCTGAGATGATCGTGCGGGTATCTAGTGGCTGAACAAATCTCCACAAAGTGTACGCCTTGAAATCTCGTGCCATAAGGCGGTCTCCCAAAGCATATAGGCGCGCCAGCGTCACGTAATCGGAGTAATGCTCAACGTCGCGGGAAAGAATCGATTGATTGCGGTAAAGGTATTCGACAAAGAATCCAAAAAGCTCCGGATCTTCGTCCTCCAATTCAATCGCTTTCTGCTCTGCTTCTTTGTATTCTCCCGTCAGACTGTTGGAGAATCTCTTCGACTCAGCAATTAGGAGGTCGAAATGGAGGTAGAACGTTCTCGAGTTGGCAACAGTGACGGTCACGATGGGAGAGGTGAGGAAGCTATGAATATGAGCAGAAGACTATAATAAAGGTGATGGGAAGAGCGTACAGCGAGAACTTGGGCTTTTCAGCCTTGTCCAGTGTAACTTTACGCTCCAGTTTTGGCATGGCGTATGTTGTATCTGTATAGCGGTGGCAGCGAAGGGACCAGGAAACTGTTCAAGGTTTGGCTTTCGGAACTTGATATATGAATCAGAATTATATTTATCATGTTACCCATCGATAATAGTAGCTTTGTTTATGTATTCCTGCAAGGCTGATCGTAAGCGCTTGCAATCCTGCAGAGGGGGTTACACAACAGCGCTAAGTAATTGGACAGTGGTGTCCCAGGTAAAACTGTGCCACATGAGTGCATGTTTGTTAATACTTCAAGACACCTGGTATCTTCCATTTTAGTAGGAATCCTTTACTCTGCGGTGGAAGAGAAGACCCGACTTACTTGCACATCACACACATCCTACCCAGCCTCCTTTCCCATACAATCTCACCCTCAACCTATCACGTACATTACTCATTCTCCATTCCTACCCCTTCCCCCAACACCCCTTCCAAAACCCTCACAAACTCCCCCGCCATCTTCCTGCCCCCCTCCCCACTCGGCTCAACCCTCTCCACATAATCCCCCGCCCCCTTCCCATCCAACACCTCAAACAACGCACACGGCACCACCTGCACCCCCTCCACCTTGATCTCCTCAGTCGCACTCTTATACAACTCCCTAATCGCCGCCTGCAACTGCCCGGGATCCCTCTCATACCCCAGCACCCTGAGCTTCCCATCCGCCCACCCACTCTGCCCCTTTCCACTCTCGAGCGGAAAATAAATCATACAAACAACCACAGTCCTCGGTTTCGTGACTTCGGTAAGGCGGGCAATATACTCCTGAATCTTCGTCCCAAAGAGGTTCCGGAAATACGGCAAACCCCACGCCGACCCGTCCTCGATGGATTTCCGCGGCGTAAGCCACGCAAGCTGGAACATGTGCGCGCTGGTTTCCACCGACGGGTTGAGAGCGATGTCGTTGGAGCCGACGCTTACGACGAGGATGTCGTTAGCGCGGATCGAGGAGCGGATGAAGGCGTCGTGTGGGAGGAGATCGGTGTCGCGGGAGCGTAAGAGGGATTCTTCGACGGCGGTGTTGATGCATGTTGCGCGGGTCGAGAGAGCGGAGTTGAGCCAGTATGCTACGTCTGGGATGAGGGTGATGGGGGTAGCGAGGGTGTAGTGGTAGATGGCAGGGATTTGGGAGGAGGAGGAAATGCGTTCTTTCAGCCAGAATTTATTATCGAGGGAGGAGTCGCCGGCGAGGTAGATGATGGGTTTGTCCGGGTGCTCGGTGAGTGTTATGTTGCGGAATATGGTCAAGTCGGCAATGGGGTGGCCTTTGTATTCGTTGTAGAATTTGCCAGAATCGATTTTGGAGGCTTCGTCGGTTTCTGACGCCATGTTTTCGGATGATGTTAGATGTGGTCGTTGTGAGTTATAGGGAAGAGGTTGTGGAGCATGTAGTGTGAATGGTCGTATATGTTTATTACCACTTCTACGTAAAGCGATGAATACGACGAGTGTGGCTGGAATCAGCCACGCACATGCCTTAGCGTACAGCATTAAACCTAGAAAATGCTGCTGCCTCAGGTAAAAATACCTCACATTGCCCTTGCCCGCTACCACAACCGGGAATGTACGGCTGTGCACGGGCCTCGCTTTACCAATGACATACGTAACCTCGACTAGTACCAGAAAGCATCGTATAAGGCAACGTAATCATGACTGCAGGTACTCAAACTCAAAAGGAGACGCTACCGCCCATCTTGAATCGTTGAGCAAGACTTAAAAAAGGCTGGACCGATCCAAATTGTTCGGACATCACGTGCGCATCACTTTCACCATATACAAGACCCACCAAAACAGCGACACCAACAGGCACTTTAATAATGAAATCTAATTCCAAACCCAACCTAATGACTCCGTCTATAATAGGAAAAATAACAGAAAAACCATCTAATCACATGAATCCAACTCTATCCTTTTTAGAATCCCCCATCAAAACCCCTTACTTACCCTGCTTCAACGCCTTCATCTCCTGAACACCCACCTCAAATGCCCGCTCCAACTTCTCCACTCGCCCCTTCATCTCCTGAAACTCAGCATCTTCACCTTGCATCAGCTTCACGAACTCGCGCACGAGAACCGAAGGGCCGTCGATCTGCAAGGGCGAAGTACGGAAGAGTGTACGTTGGACATGGTACAGCAGGGGCCAGTCACGTTTTTCGAATAAGCGAATAGTGACGGGTGTGCGGGAATTGGGCTCCGGTGTAGGGAGGTCCTCGACGAAGTCTGAGTCTGACAAGGTAGTGTAAGTGCGGTTGTGGGCTGGAGGGTCCTGCCCGGTCTCTTCGATTGTAGCGCGGAGGATCTGAACAGCGGTGTCAAGTTGGGATTCTAGCGCGTCATTTCGAGCCTCCAGGTCGAGGTTTGCTTCGTGCAGCGTGAATATCTGTTCCGAAAGCTTGTCTAGTTCGACCATTGTATCGCAGTGCTCGTGGGAGAGCTTGGCGAATGCACAGATGATCTTTTGGTTTTCAATTTCTAGATCGCCGAGAGACTGTCTAAGGTAATCAGTTTCTGCAGTGTCAACCAAAGGTGCGGTGGGCGTGGAGAACGCACCGGGTGAGATATCGGGGATATTAGAGTTGGAAGATGTGGGCGATTCCACGCTCCGCTGCTCATCAGCAGCAGCGATTTCGTCTTCGAGTTTCTCGACTGTGGCTTTGCAACAACGTAGCTCATCGGAGAGTTCCTCGATCTTTAATGTATCAAGGTAGTGCTGCTCCGTAAGCTCTTCATCAGCGGTCTCAAGATAGCGCAGCTCCTCGAGCTCAGCTTCTGTAGTTCGCAGGAGGGCCATAGCATCATCAATTTGTTGCTGGGCCTCCCCGTAAAGCTCATCGTAATCGTGGGATTTGGTTAGCGATTCCAGCCGAGCATTTTCTTCTTCCAAATACTTGATGCGGCCTTGTAGGTTGGAGGCGCTGGTTTGGACGACACCCTTAGGCTTCGTATTAGTAAATATCCCCTGTCCCATCCACTTCTTCCTCTCATTCTCAAGACGAGACTTAGCCTCCCTCACCTCCTTGTTAGTCTTGTCTTTCAGCTCATTCATTTCCTTTTTGAGCCCAATGACTACACGGCGTTCTTTCGACAACTTTTCCTCGCTTTGCGTCCTTCTAGCCTTTTCCTTCTCAAACTTTTCCGACCAGGAAGAAATTTCACGGAACAAATCATCAGACTTCTTGCTGGCCTTAGCTTTAGCCCGTGCTAAAGATTGCAGCTGCCTCTTCAGATAGTCTATCTCAGCAGCCTGTGCAGAGGTGTCCAGGGTATTACGACGGCGTGTCGAGCCATCTCGAGAGTCTGTCAGTGATACAGCGGTAGATGAGGGACTTGGGGTGATGTGCCGATTCATGGTGAAGATATTCATCGTGGCTGTATGTGAATGCACTGTCTTGTTGACAAGTTGTAGATGAAGAAATACTCGGGGGAAAGGTGAGTTTTAATACAAACCTGCGTTCTGCACTGTTCAAAAACGCACCGTGAACATGAACTCGTTTTATATCTCTTTTTCCTCCGTGACATACATTCAACGTTTCGTGGCTTCATAATGTCTTACACACAGTGCTTGTCTTGAACTTGAAGATGAGCAAGTGCGGCGAGTACATGGCACTGCTGCGCTAAACCTAACGTGGTGTCACCAAACTGGTTTCACGACATCTACAATGCGGACTGAAGACAAGGGTGTGTGCTCTCTATCACATGTGTAACTACACATGATGACTTTGACAATATTGGAAATAGTAAAAGCAATCTTGCTACCTTGCATTAGCGAACACGAGCAATTGGTTCGCTGCAAAAGCTCTAATAGCATTTGGTCCTGGTAGCTAGCCAACAAATAAACTTTTACATGGTATTGAGCAAGGATACTACAGCCATTCTATAATAAATTTTCATGTTTGATAGTAAAACATATATCATTTAATGCGAGAGCGGTAACGTAACCGTGACCTCTTTCGATATCGTAAAATCATCACCTGCTTAGAATTATATACTGGCGCAAATCACATATCGCAAAAAAGGTCGAAAAGAGTGTCTTGCTCTCCAAGAAAATCATCTCTTAAGCAGCGCGTTCGATAGTAGTAGCTCCAGTCTTGCCATGGTCCACAATTGTGCTGTCTTGAACCTGATTAACCGACTTCTCGGTTGCCCGGGTAGCCTCATCGGCAAGATCGTCTTCGAACACTGGGAGGCAACAGTCAGCAAATAACATTTATGAGAAATGATGGAGATGAACTTACAGAAAGCCAATTCTTCGAGCGTGCGGTTGTACGTCTCGGGGTACATGAAGTAGACGAACGAGAATTCGAACGAAATCCATGCGCAGTAGATGGCAAAGTACTTCCACTCAATGGCAGTAAGAGCGATGGGGTTGACGTAGATGGAGAAGAACCCAGCCAGCTTTCCGAAAATCTGTTCGATACCGATACCCATGGTACGTTGGGCATAGGGGAACAGCTCGACAAGGTAGGTGTATGTGAGCGAGTTGTTTCCGATGTTGTAACAAGGGGAGTAAGCAAAGTAGAAGAACAAAGATGCGATCTGAGCCGATGAATTTGTGGTTCCGGCTTTGTCAGCTTTCTGAAGCGAGTGCAGAGTAATGGTAATGGCCATGAAGACCATGACCATGGATCCAGCGGAAAGCATAAACATCTTACGACGGGGGAATCGGGTGACGACAAGAGCGATGATGACAGCGTTCAACAAACTCCAGCACTGGTTGGCAATGTTGATGCGCGTCTTTGTGTAGTTATCGGTGAAACCCATCAGGTTGAAGAGCAGCTTTTGGTAGTAAGAGAGCAGAGTATTACCACTCATCTGGGTGAACAGACCCAAGAAGACGGAGATGATGACACGGCGGCGCATACCAGGAGTTCGGACCATGTCCATCCAGGATTGCTTAGAGTTCTCCATCTCGAGCTTGATGGTGGATCGAATCTGGGCCATTTCAGCTTGGACCAGGAGCGAGTTGGCGTCGTCTTCAGCGTGGTATTTGACCAAGATGGCATAGGCCTCGTCGTCACGGTCATGGGAAATCAGAAAACGTGGGCTCTCAGGGAGCAACCTAGCCATGTCAGCGAGTGTCGTTCTAGAATGTAGTGGCATCTTACCAGACGGTGCAAATCTGCAGAATCGAGGGGCAGATCTGGAGAAGCGAAGGAAGTCGCCAGCCCCAATTTCCAGCAATGGTGGTTGTCTTGATTGAAATGGCAGCGGCGAGGATGGAGCCGATAAAGTACGAGGCGTTGAAGAGAGAGGTCATGAAAGGACGTTCTTTTGGGTGGGCAAGCTCTCCAATCAAGGCCGATCCGGCAATGATGGCAAAGAGGATTCCGAATCCGAGCAGCATACGTGCAATGATGTACATGGCGACTAGTGATTGATTGTGAGAATTAGGATTTGACGATGGGCATGGAGTGAGACTTACCATGCTGGGCAAATCCTTGCATGATAGCGCCGATAACCATGATGATGGAACCAACGAAGATGGCCATGCGCCTACCATAACGCTGGTTCAGCCATGGGGCGACAGGAACGGCGAGAATGGAACCGAGTTGGTAGCATGCAGACATGAAACCAATGATTCTGGGGTTGATGGAGTACTCTCCCTTCTTGTCGCGATAGCCATCTCCGAAGACTATCTTTGTTAGCGAGGGGCCAGGAGCACAAAGCAGATCGAGTACGTACACTTGTTGAAGGGGACGGAGAATTGAAGGGTGCCAATGAGTTGAGAGTCGAAGCCGGATGTGATCTCAACGCCCATGCAGCAGCAGAAGAGCCAGATGTACATGAGTCGGAGGTTTCTTTTCTTCCACCATCGTACCTTGTCCTGCTCCAACATGCGGGTGATGATGGGCTCGGCAGAAGTGCCCTCCGCGAGTTTCTGAACGCCGCCCACCATGATGACAGTGATTTTGATGGCAATGAAGTGAGGGATGGGTACCAGAATGGGAGGAGCACAGTGGGGGTTGACATGCTTTATACAGACTGCCGCCGCAAACACGACCCACTACCCCGGCTCGTTACCCCAGATGGTCCGGGGCAAGGGTATGCTAAGACGGAGACCGTGACCGTATTACCGAAGCGCCACCTTGTATTGGAGAAGCGTCTCGGCGGAATGGGCTTGCATAGCTTGGCACCGGTTAAATTGCTCGTAGTCGTCCAATGGCCGGGCGCTGCTGGACCGAACGCTGGTGAAAGAAGGCCGAACTGTCGCCTCTTTTGAACACACCCACTGCCGCAACCGTGTGTTTAACCTGTCCATTGTCACTCATCCAGGTCGTCGGTGGTTGCACTATCGAGTTGCAGTGGCGTCCCCTGCCGCTTCCCTCGTGTCTGCCGTTTAGCGCGCCTTGCTTCCCGCCGGCTCGGTGTGCATGCCGGAATTGTACATATTGCAGTCGAATTTGCCAATATCTACCTACTATACGATGCAGAATCGGAGTTTTACATGATATTGCGGTGGCCATGGCTGGCCCCCACACTGCACGTGGTTTGGTAGGGGAAGCTGGAAATAAACAATAGTACAAGCGGGGCCAAGCTAAGGGATATGAAAATCTGACAGCGCCTGACATCTGTTGCGGCTCGTATACGGCAAGACCGATAAGGCGGGTGCCGGAGCTGTGTCAGTTGGAGCCTGTATATACGACAAGCGCAGCCATTCGTGTGAGTCTCTCCCGACTCAAACCAAGCCCGTGGCTCAATCAATGCAACCGTGCCACCATCGGCAGCTGGGGAGGGCAGACGTGCCATTTGCTCCGACTGCGCAAGCGAAGGGATTAATGTGGATCGCCATGCCCACCACCTATGCAGGTCAATTAAGAGGGATGTTGGTACGTTGGTCGCCTTAATAAATTATAGCGGTTTTGTGGAATCCTGGAAGAGCGTGAGACGTTGGCCAAGTAATACAAAAAGAACCTGGGTCGCAAGGTGGTTTGGGTGTGTGGGGGAGACCCGGCCACATTCCCTCCGGAGTGCGGCCAGCGGTAACCCGGAGGATAATCACGTGGCCAACAACAAGCGCGTCCGAATCCTGGGCATGATGCCACAGATGCACGCTGCTATTACGCCTTGTTCGCAGAATCAGCCATTACGAACAACAGCCCACGCCGCACGAGGTAATGACTAACAATTACGCGATGGCAAAATCCTATCCGGCGCGGCTGACAACATCACGATGACCAAGACACATGTCAGCAAAGAAGAGTACTAGAAGAAAATAGTGTGTCATTAAGCGTACGGCTACAGGAATCCATAACATGCCAACAAGACTTCGTAACAACGTATCGTACACACCAAAAACAAACGCCGAGTCCCGCATCCCCTCGAGATGGGACGAGAACAAGTCAAAGAGATAGTTTGGGGTATCATTTCCTGGGTGGCTACAAGCTAGCCGTGGGTATAGGTTGAAGTGTAACAATAATAAGTCGTTTCCTTAGACATTTGTCATAGGTGGGGCGGGATCGCTGCGTGCTGAGCCACGGACATGTAGCGCCGCAAGAATAGTGGTAGCGACAAATGTCAACCTAGTCCTGTCAGAAAAGCTGTCACAACACATAAAGACACTACAGGTTCAACGTACCAGAGGAATGCTCCGAAAATAATAGCAGCAACACCACAGCTCCAGAAGGTGCCATGGCCAACCCACCACTCGCCGCCCCAGCGCGTAGCCACAGCGACGAAAGCGGCGAACCAGAAGATCATGGTGATGAACTCGACTCCTGCGACAGCATACTTGTGCGCAGCTGCAGGGAAGCGGGTCGGCGCAAGGATCAGATAGGCGACAACGAGAAGGGTCCAGATGGAGGTGAAGAGCATAAACGCAACGCTTCCTGGTACCCAGGTGATGTATGCATCAACAACTAAGAAACATTGATCAGCACAAGCGTTCAGAAACCCTAAGTCGCATTTTTTTACTTACGGTACGCGCTCAAGCCAAGCACGATAATGCTGAACAGCACCTGGACGGCGCGAACGCCCATGAGGATAGCCGGAGCAACCATATTGGCGATAGTAGGTAACGGGGTAAGGTGAGTGTTTGGGGATGGCTGCAGATAATGTTGGGAATTGTCTACCACGGTGAGGGAGATTGGCAGAAGGTGATGCAAACGCAAAGAGCAGTTCTTCCCTGTGCTTTTATGCCTCTGAACCGCCAGGCGCAGCGATGATGGATGCCATGACCAGGGTGCGCTTGGTTTCAGGAAACCGACGTCACTCAAGGGTGGCGCATGACGACAAAGCCACAAACCACGCGTCTGATTGGCCGATTGTGCCGACCGATGCGACGTGGTCCACGACAACTTCGAGCTGCTTCTCGCTTCTCGAATGGTGGCCTTGCCTTGCAGCTTGCCCCTCAACACCCCGTCTGCAGTCCCCTCCTTTCATTTTAGCAAGGGCTGCTGAAACTGGCTGAAAAAAAGGGTCTATTTCTGGGTGTGTTTTGCAATATTCGTTTCGAAGCCAAGGTCTTGCGACGGATGTTTTGGTGCCGGGTGTGGCGGTGCCTTGCTCCACTTTTTTTTCCAGCCTCTTCAATTCGTGACGCGGTGCCGAGCACCGCCAACAGACAACTGTAAGCCAACATGCCACCGCTATTCCGAGCCCACATGTGCACATCAATGCCCGCATCGAGAACTTGCGCGTGTGTTGTTGACGTTCAACATTTCGTGGCTCCGACACCGCCCATGGCAACAGCGTAATGGAAGTGCGAACAACCCGCGTTTCAGATCATATGCCGGCATAAGGGCGACAACATTTCCAAGATGAGCTTCGGGAATAATGACATCTGTGGCCCAGACTTGAATAGGGCACCAGAGACGACATGTTTGATGGGTGACCGCTTCGTGCCTGCGTACAGTATTACTCTCGATGGACGCAATAGGCAGACTAGACTGCAATTCACCGAGTGGAGATGGACACAGCGTTGCCAACAAACTTTAATTATTGGATAGCTTTCCAGCCTCGTTACCCAACGTAATCTCCCTGGAAAAGAAAAGGAACGCAGGCCTCGCATAAACAGCGCGTTGAACGCTGGCCCTACTTCCCCTCCATCGCACTCTCATCTCTAGTCCTCCCAGGCCAGTCGCGATCAAGCACCTATGACTCACCACTAGGCAATGCGATCCAAACAACAAGCCCAAAATGACGAGTACTAAGGTCATCCAAGTGGTTGGCGACCGCAAATGACGTCTCAAACCGCTGACGTCTTGGTGTTTGACTTTTGCGCGCGCAGCACCACAAACCTGTAAAACAAAAATTGCAAGGATGCAGGCAGTAAGAACTGTCGATCGCTAAAACGTGATCTCGACAACGGTCCCCGTGTCAACCACGTGAACCAAAGCAACGCCTTGAAGAAATCTCTTTCTTTGAGCCAGTCGTTTCTACACATGGCGTGGGCTCGAGTCCCCATCACCTCACCGCTCTGTAGCAAGACCCTTTTTGCCAGTCGCGCACCCGTCAACCTGCTTTTTTTTCTTGCTCTCCGAAATGAACATGGGATACCCGTCTCTCTCTTCCCAACAGTCTCTTGTGTTTGCCCAGGCACCCAGTGGCCCTTGTTTCTCGTCAATGCACGTTGCAAGATGAGCATGTGGATATGATGTGAGGGGAGGGGGAGGAGGGGACCTGGTCGATACCACACTAGCGGGCCGTACCCCCCGCTTTTTTCTATGGCCGCCCTTGCCTGGTGTAGTGTTTTGCCCTGCGTGACCCTTGCGGGGTGTATTTCGGCCCCCGTTCATCTGCATATCGGTACGGCATGTTGGTGTCGTGCTTCTCGCGGCATGGCGCTGCTTTTGTTGGTTGCGCCGTGTAAGCGCGTATCGATAAGGTTTGTAGCATTGCCCGGGGGTGCGCCGGGTATGGGAAGAAGAGTGCGACTGTCCGTTCATCGCATTTGGGAGTCCTGTAGAGCCCTGACAATACTAGATAGACGTATGCGGTAACACCGCTCGGTTTTAGATGTATAGATAATACGGAAATACAATGAAATGAAGGAGTAGAGTTGGATGCGGCAAGAAATTGAAGTAAATACTTATTTGGCGCTGGATGCGGTTTATAGCAGCCCTCGTGCGCTTCTGTCTAGAACTAGAGACAATAGAAACAATGGTTAGTAGTCCTGGAAGGCAAGGTAAGTCCATGCATTCAATATAGAAGAATCGCAGCTACCGTGAGAGGGCCGAACGGGAAACTAGCATCCAAGAGATGGTGCCAAGGTGCTGAGCTGCCATAGGGAAGCTGCTCGTATCCTGTCATCACTAGCGCATTACGGTAAGAAGCTTACAGGCAGACAAGAGAAGTCAAGTAAGGCTTGGGACGATAAAAGTTGTTTGAGACTGGTCAAGGCTTGGACCGAATAGTGTAAATTTATACACGTGACCGTGGTTAACTTGGGCTGAAGGTTCCTGGAGATTCGTGTTGGCTCAGGTCCAAGGTATTATTCAGTCACCAATTCCTGTATTCTATCTTCTCGCAATGTCATTTTGCGATGTAGAGAAGCTGTTTATTTCCAGGGCCCACTGTTCGCTGAATGGCGGACGGGTTTCCGATGCAGGCACGGGACGATTGGTGCGCCGAACGTGGGATATGGCGGAATCTGATGTCAGCAAGAAAAGCGTAACTTCAACAACGTCCTTTGTAGTCTTGCATATTATTTTGGAGAGGAGAGAAGAGAGAACATAAAGAATCAGAAGAAAATTTGTGCGCAAAGCCATGGTAGTGACTCCGTGCCTCCAAAAAGCTCTGCTGACTGATGGGTGCTAGGACGGGTCGTATGAGCGAGTTTAGCGGACCAGAGGCAAGTGATGGCCTCTTCCAAACGCGAATTTGATACGCATCCAATGTTATGTTGCTCCCTGCTGCAATGTGCCTCTAGTTGATTGCTGGTCTCATTAACAGTAGAGATTGGGTGGCTAGAGCATGGCCAATAGGCGATAACCATTGTTATCAGCTCAAGGGGAGTATTCCTCTTCCCAATACAGATACACCAACGAATCCTTTGCCGAGTTTACATTGATTTGTAGTTGGATGGTCGCCATTTGGTTTTTGTGGAAAAGCAAGATATTCGCAAGGATGGACAAGGATCGCGCCATCGGCGGAAAATGTCGTCAAGAGCGTCGTGGGAGGGGTGGCTTGCTCACATCGTCGCAGATATGGCTTCCCTAGCAGTTATCTAGCGGAACATGAGCGGATCGACAGTCAAAAATCAAACAAGAGCTGAGGCAAGGTGCGATAAGGGCAAGGTACGCGATTACTTACTAGTGTACTGACAGCGGCTTGGCGTTCCTTGCAGAATCCAAAGAGACAGAAGAAAACCTGAGCCGCGCCTGCGTCACCAAGCATTGTATCGACATGTGTTCGGAAATCGATGGAGACGGCCGCAGGGGACATGGCCTATCAGATGCGCGCGGCGATTGTGGGGAGGGATGTACCGACTGTTCCGCGAGCTGTTGGAAGATGCAGAGTGCGGTGATTTTGGATCTACCTTCCTATCTCATGTAAAGGCGCTCCGATAATCCAGATGGCCAGCACCAGGCCTCCCCTAGGGCCCTTGTTTATCCGGCAGGCCGATTGCTTTGGGCTCCTTGGCAAACACCGCTCGGCCTTGGGACGCTTGACACCTGCTCAATCCGGAAGCTCGAGTGTGAACATCAATCAGACCAATTTGCGCGTCAACACTACATAAAGAACACAGCACTACCATGTTGCACAGCACGGTCGCTTTGGCGTTTTCGTCTCGTCTTCTTGCACGACAACTTGTTCACACGATCAAGTGGTGCGAGGACGTCATCCGTGCACCCTGGGCTGCTGCGTGGGCTTCCATCACCAACCTTCTTTGTTGAAAGGTTCTGGGGCCCGACCTCATATTTCTCCTCATCATGCGTTCTTTCGCCCTCCTCGCAGCGGTATTGCCGCTGGTTCACGCCATTGAGCCTCCCCGCAAGCCGCACCAACCTCTTGGCAACGGTTCCAAGCGCCTCTCCTACAACGAGACCACCGCCAGCCCTGGGTCCTTGTATGCTGGCTCCCGTTCATTTAGCTGGGTTGGGACTGGCAAAGATGGTGATTACATCTACCCAGCCACTTCTGGAGACCTTGTTTTTGAGAATGTCGCGACGGGCGAATCATCCACCTTCATCTCCGCAGATAAGATCCCAGAAGACTACTGGGACTTCTTCATCTCTCCCGATGCTAGCAAAGTCATGTGGGCTGTCAACTACACCAAGCAGTACCGCCACTCTTACTTTGCCGACTACCTGATCATGGACGTCGCAACCGGCGAGTCTGTGCCTCTGGACCCCGAGCAAGTTGGTGACATTCAGTATGCTGAATGGAGCCCCGTTTCGTCAAACCAAGTTGCCTTCGTCAAGGGAAACAACTTGTATGTCAGCACAAACGGCACCATTGCTCAAATCACCGACAACGGCGGCCCAGACTACTTCAACGCTGTCCCCGACTGGGTTTACGAGGAGGAAATCTTTGGCGACCGCTACACTCTGTGGTACTCTCCCGACGGCACTAGGATTGCTTTCTTGAGCTTTAACGAGACCGGAGTTGGCACATTCAGAATCCCATACTACATCGATAACAACTCCGAATATGTGCCTGTATACCCCAACGATCTTGAGCTGCGCTACCCCAAGGTCGGCACCAAGAACCCCACTGTCGTTCTGAACCTGCTCGAGGTTGAGTCCGGAGAAGTCTCAAACATCCCAATCGATGCTTTCCCTGAGGATGACCTCGTCATTGGTGAAGTCACCTGGCTGACCGAGGGCCACAGCAAGGTCATCTACCGTGCCTACAACCGTGTTCAAGATCTGGAAAAGCTAGTGACGGTTGACGTCGAGGCCGGCTCGTCCAAGGTCACCCGTGAGCGTGACGGTACTGATGGATGGCTCGAGAACTTGATGCAGATCCGCTATATTGGTGCTATTGAGGCTGGAAATGCCACTTTCGGCAACTCCACCGAGTTCTACCTTGATATTTCTGACCAGAGTGGTTGGGCGCACATCTACCTCTTCCCCGTCTCTGGTGGGGAGCCAATTGCACTCACTTCCGGCGAGTGGGAGGTTCTCTCCATCCTCAAGGTTGATTACAAGCGTGGCCTGGTCTACTACACTTCCACCGAGCACCACAGCACCGAGTCTCACGTGTACTCCGTCACCTTCTCTGGAAAGAAGACTGCCCTTGTCAACGACAAGGAAGCTGCTTTCTGGACTGGATCTTTCTCGTCCGGCGGCTCTTACTACGTCCTACGATATGCTGGCCCCGACGTTCCATACCAGGAACTGTACTCACTCAACTCGAGCCAACCCATCCGCACCATTGTCAACAACAGCGCACTGTACAACAAGCTCCAGGAATACAACTTGCCCAACATTACTTACCTGGACCTAGAGCACCCATCAGGCTACACGCTCGATGCCATGCTTCGTCTCCCGCCCAACTTTGACCCCAGCAAGAAGTACCCTCTCATCCTCATCCCATACGGTGGACCCAACGCCAAGGAAGTGCACAAGCAGTTCAGCACGCTGAACTGGAAAGCATACGTTGCCTCTGACCCAGAGCTTGAGTACATCACTCTCACGGTTGATAACCGCGGTACTGGCCGCAAGGGCCGTGCCTTCCGTTCGACTGTAGCGTCTAATCTGGGCCAGCTTGAGGCCGAAGACCAGATTTGGGCAGCCAAGGAACTCGCTAAGAACTCTTGGGTTGACAGTGAGCACATTGGTATCTGGGGCTGGTCCTACGGTGGCTACCTCTCCTCTAAGGTCGTTGAGGTTGGTGACCCAATCATCAGCTACGCTATGATCACCGCCCCCGTGAGCGACTGGCGCTTCTACGACTCCCTCTACACTGAGCGCTACATGAAGACCCCCGACATTAACCCTGACGGCTACAACCGCAGCCGCGTCCACGACGCCACGGGCTTCAAGAACATTGCCGGTGGTGTCGTAATCCAGCACGGTACTGGTGACGACAACGTCCACTTCCAGAACGCCGCTGCCCTCGTCGATCTTCTCATGGTCAACATGGTCAGCCCCGAGAAGATGCAAAACACCTACTTCACCGACTCGGACCACAGCATCAACTTCAACAACAACGGCAAGTTCTTGTACAAGCAACTGAGCAAGAAGCTGTTCGAGGAGAAGAACAGGAAGGGAGATAGCAAGGGCAGCCACCAGTGGAGCAAGAGGGCTGCTTCTTCTGCTACCAAGCGGACTGCTTAAAGCATGTATAACGAATTGTGTATTATGCATAAGTTAATTTCTATAAAAGTAATCCATATGTCTAATGAAAAGGAAATCATGTCCCCATCCTATCTTTCCCCATTCAAAAAACAACTGAAGTCTGTGCTTTTATATTCCATTGAAATCTCATACAAATATCTTCCAGCCACCCCACATGAAATATCCAAAAAAAAAACCCCTCCGCTTTTTTTCCCCGGTGTCGATAACCCCTCTTCACAGCGCAGCAGCCCTCTCCCTACACCTCCCACACCTCCCCTCAAACCGCACCATGACCCCCTTCCAATCCCCTTCTTCCCCCACGCTCTCCAGCTGGTTCAGCGCCGTCCCGCATGCACTCGCCAAATCGTGGTACACGCGCTGCTGGAGCTGCATGTACGTGTGCGTGTACGAGATCCGGGCTGCCTTTAAGAGGTGGATGCATTCGCTGTGGGAGACAAGGGGGAGGTTGGTCAAGGCGTTTGTGGGCGTGATGGTGATGGTGGGTGGCGTGGGGTGAAGGGCCGGTTGGGAGAGGGTGAAGGATTTGGGGTGGCGTGGGGGGTGGAGGTGGTATTGGTTGATGGGGTTTGGGGGGTTCGGAGGGTAGGGCATGGTTGGGTTGGGTTGGGTTGGGGAAGTGTTGGGGAAAGGGAAGGGGAAGATTGAGAGAAGGGTAATGGGTGCTACCTTTTAGGTAGATGACCGTTTGCGTTTGTCTGCTTTATCGAAGTGTCACGTTTTTTTTCTGGGGCGCTTGTTGAATGCATGTGCTTGTGTGGGTGAATGATGGAAGTGGTTTGGGATGTCTCTGTATTCGGCGGTCGTTTGTGTTTAGAGCTTGTTGGATAGTTGGGATACTGTCAACCAGATTTCCATTGGCGATCTAGTAAGCGATATTTGCGATCCTTCTGTTGTGTTCTTCTGCTCTGGTTTGGTGTTCTTCGATGTTCTAGATTCACAATGCAAACTTGATCTGAGAGGGATAGGTGAAAGCTGCATGATCGAAATTTGAAATTGAATACTGCTGAAAAACTTCTTGGTGCAAAATCCTTAGTCGGGATTAGAAAGACTGGTATCAGGATATCATATGTGAAGGTGGTCCTAATAGACGGACGTTGTATGACTGCCGTAGAGCACCCGGTTTCTCAGATTCCAGCACAAAGCCTCGCCAACACAGTGACAAATTTGGGAGACTGCTAAACACAATTGGGAACCGGATCTAAGCACCCGATGCCCTGCAGGTGATCTTAGAGACTCATGGTATGCAGAAGTGAAAAGTTTTATAATGGAATGTAACGTCAGCATAACCAATTTCGATTATGAACCCGAGCGTTCATTGATCTCATATATGTTATACGTAACCGAACCCGCAGTTACTAATAGGTGGAGTTGCACAAGTATGTCCCACTCCCTCGTGAAGCCGCCAGTTATGCGGAGGAAGTGTGCTCTGATTGGCCAAGCGCACGGACTCCTCCAAAGTCGAGCTTCCGTCGTGAGCTGTTTGTACATTGTCTGTCTCCAGCAAGGCCGACAACGCCCATACGCTCTTTTCCCTCACAAATCCCTGGAAAATCTCGAGCGCATTCACATCCTCAGCTGCGTCTCCAGCAGATATCAGACTTGGATATCAGCGCATTCCGACCGCCAGACCACTCGCTCCAACTCGACGTTTTCAGTAGCGGCTCGACTACGCGATTGCGGATCCTCTCGTGTAGCTTTCTTGCGCCGAATAAGGAGAGATCAGGCGATAAACTTTGTCTGCAATCGAGAACACGGAGGCAATCATCTGTTCGCTCGCCCTATATCAGCTTCGGATATCTCAGAACGTCAACTTATCTTCTCTCTTCACAATGGCACTGAACGCCTACCTGAACAGTAAGTATCCTGTTTTCTTATCTTTCGACGCAAAAAGTCTTTTGTTTCGTGTCTTTCACTCTGTCCTCCGCAGCGTAACTCATACCTCACTCCAGAGCGCGTATCTGTCCTCACAGTCGACGGACGCACAATGGTCGGCCTTCTCCACTCCTGCGACGGCAGCATGAACCTCGTCCTCCAAGAAGCCACCGAGCGCATCATCCGACCGGTAGAAGAGGAAATACCTAGTGAAGAAGTTCCCTTGGGCCTCTACATTATCCGTGGCGATAGTGTAGCAGTTGTAGGACGTGTGGATGAGGAGATTGATGGCAAGATTGATTGGAGTAAAGTTCATGGCGAGGTGCTGGGAAGTACGAAACACACGTGATCTGTCGGATATGCAAAGAGAGAGAAAGCAGGGATTTGAGGATTCTAGGATAATTGATGCAAAGGAATGCGGAGACTTCGAAGGGCAATGACACAAGCATTGTCTGAACTACGGAAGCGCGCAAAAGAAGTTTTGGAATCTGGTTGTAATTTGGATTCTATGATGGTATGATACCCACGAGAAATAGCGACAAGAAAAATGCAGAGTATGTCACTTTTTGTTCAAATATGTAAGTATGCTGTGTAGTGAGCGACATGTCTCCGAGGATATATGTGCTTTATGATGGTGTCCCTTGAAAAACCTTCAACTCCCTTGAATGTATGCTGCCTGCATTTCTCATCGCCTGCCTATATCCACTGACTCGACTTACTGAATACTCCTTCCCACGCCCTGCCCAATACCCACAATATTCTTATGATCACTCGGATTCGCCGCAGCCTCATACATCACACTAACCGCCTCCTTGTTCAACTTCATATAATCACCCTTGAATGCCAGATAGCTAATCTGCGTCTCCTCCTCGCCACCCCAGTTATCCTCAAAGAACAACGCTAGACACCTCGTGGTGCCAAACTTTGCGCGCTTGACTGGAATCTCCTGGACTTCGCTTGTCTGGCTGATTTCAAGCACTTGAGTGGGTTCTTTCTCGCTGGCAGTCTCAAAGTCGAGGGCGTCTTCGTTGATGAAGACTTTGAGAGTTTTGGGACATGAGCCACTAGGGCTGGTGCGCAGGATGATGCTGTGCAGGCGCACTTGGCCTGTGAAGGGGACGGTCATGAGGAGTTGCTCGTCGGCACTGGATCTGAGCTCTGGCTCTGGGTCAAGACGTTGGGCCCACGTTTTCTGGCAGATGGCGCGGCCGCTATTTGATTCATCTTCATTGAGTGTGACTAGCTTGGGGAAGTCGATTTGTTCGTAGAGAATGTTTTGGAGCGCGGGTGTGATGTCATCGCTGTGATCATGACCATCGCCGTGCGAGTGATCGTGATGTTCGTCATGGCAGTGCGAGTGTGAGTGCGACATGCTTGGGGGCGCGTTGGTGGATGTTTGTATGTATGCGGGTCTGGTGTGGATGGTGGGGGCGGGGTAGCTTTGACGAAGCTTTGGTCGCTGGCACGGATGCGATGAAGACTGGGAAGGGACGATGAGCACAAGCAAAGACGCTATTCATATAACCTAGTTCTTCTCATATATCGCCAAGAGAGGTGTGCGGGGAAAGGAAATAGCGACGCATCCAACGAAAAGTTATTTTTCATGAACGTGACTTGTCGCGAAGGTTCTATGCACGTCGTAAACACATCCGCCAACCCACAGGTTCGTCTTTGAATCGACACTTGAGTCCAGGAATGTTGTTTGGCCTGTAGTGTCACCGAATCCTCCATATGATGCTCAGAAACACCCAAACGCCGCGCTCTAATGCCATGCCTACGTCATTGTACACTTCATCAAGCCAACATGGGTTGCGAAGCCTGCTCAGCAGCCCGTTCTCTCGCCCTCCGCGCTGCCCGATCCTTTGCCATCTGCGCCTTTTCCTCTGGTGTAAATTGCGGTTGTGCCTCAGGCGCGTCAGGCAGAACCAACTTGGTGCCGTTGACCTCGGCTTCGAGGGCCTCAAGTTCGTCTTCGACTTCGTCCTCGTCTTGGTTGGACATTTTGTTCGCAAGCATTTCGCTGACTTCCTGTTGCGCGCGCATCAGTATGCAAGTACAAGGTGAGACGGCTGGGTAGTAATACCTCCTGATACGCCCGAGCTTCCTCGTTCTCTCCAAGAAGCTTCTCGACGTTCTCTATGCCGCCCATTTCTTTGTGGATTTCCTTTAGGACAGCTGTTCCCTGTTGCAACCCGTATAGGACATCTTTCTGCACAAGTGCGAACTCGATATCGCTCGTAAGGACTTCCAGCTGTGCCAGCTGCGAGTCTGTCTTGGATAGCAGCGACTCTTGATACTTCTTCCTCCTCAGCGCTAGCTTCGCGCTCTTCGTGTCGCCTTTTGCCAGGCACTGCTTTGCGATCTCCTTCTCACGGTCGGTAAGGATAGTGATGCGCTTCTGGTACTGTCGGAGCTTGTCCCGTTGGTTCTTCATGTCCAGGATCGCTCTATTTTATTAGTATCAGCTACGACACACCCAAGAGTGACTCACTTGTCCTGGGCAGAGATCTTATTAGCGCTATTTGAGTTCCCCATGTTGTCGACGTCTCCATGAGCGTTGGGAGGTGCGCATGCGACCTCGCAGTCGGGTCTCCATGCCTTGGTTGGTGCCGGCAGGTCGCCCGATCATGGGCCGTTAGCGCGATACCATGGGCGATTCACTAAGCCCGAAACGAGATGCGCTAACCTTATATAGCACAATACGGTCAGGATACTACAAGACAGGAAGCAACTCAGTCGATGGGATCGCACATAAGACATAATCGCCCTAACTTGCAGTATTCTCTTGTGGAAGGAGAACCCTTACATGTTGACTCATCAGTCCGAGTTGATAGGATCAATACAACAGCAGTAGCATGATAGCCAGATAACATGGCAGCAGGACAGCAAGTCCAGATCAGAGGGACTCTATGGGTGAATCGTTGCGCGGTGAGCTCCTGTGGTCAAGAGGTCTTATGGCTCTATCTTTTTCTACGGTAAAGCCGACAAAGTTGTTCTGGTGGTGTCCTGCTTGATGTCTCCGAACGAAAAGAGGTATCGCGCTAGTGTTATCGATAAGAATCGCGAATTATTTTATGCGCGTCCAGTCCGTCCGCATTCACCGTCGTAACAACTATCGGCAGAGACCATTGTCAACAACTATCGTTAACGGCCATTTTCGGCAGGTATCTTCAATCGCCATTGCCAACTGCCATCTTCAGCCGCAATCGTCATTGACCATTGTTTACTACCACTGGCAGCTTCGTTCACTACACTAATACACTCATGCCGTCCAAAGGCCGGCCCACGTTACAATCTGGCCTGGATAAGGACGTCTACCAGGTGGTCCAGAAATATCTAGACGATAAAGGAGAATCACCACTGAAGCTGCGGGTCCATACAGTATACGACTATATCCAAAAGTCCAACTCCAGCTTGAAAAGGCGACCAAAGAAGCAGCTCGAAGACTCTATTGACCGAGTGATTGACGTCATCCGGGAAAATGAGTCTGGCGATGAAGAAGAAGATGAACTAGCTGAGCTCGAGGGAAACTTCACCATGGACGAGCCCAAAGACGTTTCGGGTGACTGGATGAACCGCCAGATTGTTAAACAATGGCCTACATCCAAATCCACTAATGGCGAAAAGAGCAAGAAGAGGGATAGCGGCAAGTCAAAGGAGGAGCGCGACAGCAAACGACAAAAACGCGCAGCCGCCCAAGAGAGTAAAATCGAGATTGCGGCACCTACCAGCGTAACCTTGGAGGACCTTGGAGGTGTCGAAAAGGTCAAAGGGCAGCTCAAAGAGCATTTGGTGCTGCCCTTGCTGTGTCCGCAGGAGTACGCTAACCGGAAAATCCCTATACCTCGCGGCATTCTCCTCCATGGTCCCCCGGGATGTGGCAAAACAGTCATCAGTAGGGCGTTTGCGGCCGAGCTCGGCGTACCATTTGTCGAAATTCTTGGTCCTTCTGTCGTATCCGGGATGTCGGGCGAGTCAGAAAAACAGATTCGCGAACACTTCGAAAGGGCCAAAGAGGTTGCGCCATGCCTAATCTTTATCGATGAGATCGACGTAATCGCGCCAAAACGTGATAGTGCGCAGAGCCAGATGGAAAAGAGAATAGTGGCGCAGTTACTCATCTCCATGGACAGTCTGGCTATGGAGGGTAATGACGGAAAACCGGTCATTGTGCTAGCAGCGACAAACCGCCCAGACAGTCTTGATCCAGCACTTCGACGTGGAGGACGTTTCGACACGGAAATCAACATGGGCGTGCCAAGCGAACCGATGCGCAAGTCAATCCTTCAAGCTCTCACAAGGGAACCGAGGCTATCGCCAGATGTTGACTTCGACGTATTGGCAAAGCGGACTGCCGGCTTTGTTGGTGCGGATTTGAAAGACCTTGTGAGCAAAGCGGGAACTTGGTCCATGGATCGGTATCGTTTGGCACTTGAAAAGCAAGCAGCCAGCACGGAAGGCGCCATGGACATAGATAACGAAGCAGTCCCTAGTTCGGAAGCGCTCATGAACAAGTCGATTCGACGGTTGATTCAGCGAGTGAAGGACACAGAGGCTCCACGCCCCGAAGGTTTCGAAGACACTGTCATCTCCATGGAGGCTTTTGAAGCTGTCCTACCAACAATCATCCCTTCATCGAAACGAGAAGGCTTCGCGACAGTACCAGACACTACATGGCGCGATGTGGGTGCGCTTGGGGGTGTCCGCGAGGAACTCGAGATGGCCATTTGTGAACCCATCAAGGATCCTGCGAAGTTTGCTAAATTTGGCATCTCAGCACCTACCGGAGTATTACTATGGGGTCCGCCAGGTTGCGGTAAGACGCTCCTAGCCAAGGCTGTGGCAGCCGAGTCCAAGGCGAACTTTATCAGCGTCAAGGGACCAGAGCTATTGAACAAGGTGAGTGCAAAGATTGGGTAGTCCTTTGGATGGATATCTAACGAGTTCTCTAACCCTCAATCATATTCACTAACCTCGTGTCTGCAGTACGTTGGAGAATCAGAACGTGCGCTTCGCCAAGTTTTCATGCGCGCTCGCTCGTCTGTTCCATGCGTCATCTTCTTCGATGAACTTGACGCACTTGTCCCGAAGCGTTCCACAGAACTTCACGAAGCCTCTGCCCGGGTGGTAAATACGCTTCTAACGGAACTTGACGGCCTGTCCATGCGGGACGGTATCTATCTCATCGCTGCAACCAACCGTCCCGAGATGATTGACGACGCTATGCTACGTCCAGGTCGGCTAGAAACACTGCTCTATGTTGAGCTTCCCAAGCCAAGCGAACGAGTGGATATTCTCAGGTCTCTTATTCGTAAACGCGGGGTCATAAATCCGGGGCTGGCCGAAATTGGGCGCCAGGACGTCTGCAAAGACTTCTCTGGTGCTGATCTGGAGAGTTTGCTGCGCAAGGCGGGCCAGCACGCCTTCAGACGACGAAGCGAGTCCATTGAGGAGCTGGATTTTATCGAGGCAGCGAAGACGGTAAGGCCCAGTGTCGGCGATGTCCAGAGATATGAGAGGTTACGAGAGAGGTTCGAAACGAAGCTATTCATCCAGAACGAGTAGATTGGTGGTGTATCGTCTAGTCCTCCATGCCAACGCTCAGCGACAGCATGAGCACGCGTAGTGTCCAGTAGACGGCGGGCGGCGAAACGTCATAGACAGAGCCCTCCCATAGTCAGTGCAGGATGTACATGAGCCAGCCGGATGCAAGTGATAATGGAAAGGTACTGCAGATGTGGTGTTATTTAAATCATCATGATTTATAGTTAGGCAAGTATGTCCATCCAGGACTTGCACTTGGCATAATAGGGACTCGTATGTAGTCTGATAGAGCCTCGCGCGTAGTATGATAGGAAATTAAGAGAAATAAGCTCCACCCAGCCGTATAGCATGCAACTCCATGAATATCCAGATCCGCTTCTTCATATCCATTATATCCTCCAAGTGTATATATCCTTGTCTTTTACCCCAAATCTAAGCATACATCTTCGGAAACCCAATACTCACCGCCTCACCCACATTCTCAGCCAACAAAAACTCCTTGATCCAATTCTTGAACCCCTTTCTAGTCGGGCTCTTGCTCTTCACCCGTCCAACCTCTTTCTGCAGCCCGCCATCACTGCTACCCCCCGAACTCCTCGAGTCCACCTTCTTCGGCATCAACCCCGCAGCATCTTCAGCTCTCGAGGCCCTCGCCTCCCGCGCCTGTCGAAACAACGGATGAACCAGCATCTCGCCATCGCCTCCCCTCGGAAACAAGCGCGGCATGACGAAGCCCGTCGGCGGCGGCACCATCATCATCTTGATATTTTCCTCGCTGAACCCTGCAGCCCGCAGCTCTGCCCGCGCCGTCTCTCGCTCCTCCTCCAGGATCTCGCGGATCCGCTCTTGCCGCTTGCACGCGAAGCATGGGATCTGTTTGCTGGGCTTCTCGCGGTGCTGTTTGTAGCGGGGGCAGGCGCGGGCTGTGTCGGGGGTGCGAGGGGAGGGTGGTTCGATGAGAGAGCAGTATGTACGGTTTAGGAGGCGTGAGTGGGTGCAGTGGCGGTGGCGGGAGAAGGTTTCTCTGCACATTGTAGGGGTATTTATGTGGGGGGGGGCGGGTTGAGGACGCGTTTGATTGGTGAGCGGCTGTGTCGAGATGGCGTGTTATTTGTTATCGGATAGATTGGCGTACTTTGCCAAGAGGGGCGAGATGGGTGTTGAGGTTTGTATCAGGGGGTTTAGTGGTGGAGAGCGTCAGCGCTGTGGGGAGAAGCTGTAGCTTGAAGGGAGAGTAAGGAGAGGACTCATGTTGTAGGCAGTGACTGATTTTTGTCATGAACAACAGTTGTGTGCGATGGGGTAGTGAAGTGAACGGTGAATTGACGCGAGGCTGTAAGCAGTAATGGGTGAAGAGTGAGTTGAGGCATTTGTGCGCACTAATTTGGGTGATTGTTTGGAGTGACTGCCCAAATTACACTTTTATAACACACTAAGCTCTTCAAGACGCTGTTCTACAATCTGTTTACAACACATCCGTATCCTGCGTTGTACTGTAGCATCCAAGGAGGACACAACACTGAATCTGTCCTAATAGTCTCTATACTTGTTGATTTTGAGACCATCACATCTACTTGAGAAATTAAACAGATACCAGCCCCATTTATGCCCCGTTGCTACATAGCCCATGTTGAGTTCCTTTGATAATCCGAATTTACTCCATCGGACACTTTTGCGCGGACCGCCAACCTTGTACCGCTGAACCAAGAAAATGGACTCATCTTTTCAAACACCACGATTCATCCACAACCTTAATACGGTATCTTCGGTAACCACTGTCGAAGTCTGCGGACACATGGCCGAGCCAATACCACGACTTGACGAACAGTGGTGCTCTATACGTGGCGTGATGTTATCCATGACAAGTCAACTTTGGGCAACTTTGTCCAAGTTGCGTGGATCGCAGCAAACAACAAGGCCGAGCCAATGAGTTTGCTTTCCCTACTAAATCGCCTTCCGCTTGCGTTTCTGTGTCAGCCTCGCCACCAGAAAGAGTGGATCTGTACATGGGTACCAGTAAGAAACACACACAACTTAGGTCGGGGCCGCGGAGCAATACAGTCCACCAAGTACATGCTACAGGTTTAGGCAATTATAAGAGAATAATCATAGATTAAAGGCAAGACTTGAGCGACGCTAGGGTTGTGAAACTAACAGTCGCCCGTTGTGTCTTACCGTTTTGGGAAACCCGATTCGATGTGCAATTGCGAGGAGGCGATATGATTGGTTAAGGGGGGATTGCTGTATTACATAATCATCGGAACGGGGACACAGAGAGTCGGAGCGGAGGCATCCTCGGAGATGCCTGGAAAACGGTTCCTGTACCCGCTTTCTGGGTGGAACGGGTTCCTTTCTGTTTATTCCCGTTAGCCCGCGTTATCTCCACAGTGCTGTTCGGGCATGCCAAGATTGTCTTGGCATGGAGGAGTGACTGCGTGAGTATCTGGATATGCAATTCTCCTTGTAGAAAACAGAAGTATAGGCAAGATTAGAAGTCAAAAAAGCAGGGGAAATCCAAAATACCCCCCTCAGACCGGGAAGGCCTGACTCCTGTCCCCCTTTATCACTGTAGTCAACCCTCAAGAATCAACCCTCTCAGCTAAGCAGCCACTGGAGCGGGCCGCGAAACTTCAAAAGCATTACAATCTACAGCTGCATAACAAACTAGTCAAAGATCAGGATCAAATCCCTCATTCACTTCCCAACGAAGTAGTCTTTCATTCCTCCATCGAACACTGTACACTTCACCTCCGAGCCACTCACATCGCTCTCCGTACTTTGAACCCCTACCAAAGTCACATTGCACCATCCTTCCCCCAGCACCACCTCCACGATTTTCCCCTTCAGGCAATCGATCACACCCAGGTGTAGAAAATAGGTCCCATATCGGCGAAGCAAACCGGTGCAATAACGATCAGAGAGAGAGATCACAAGCAAGAAAGACACTAACTATTACGCGGCTGCCGCTCCATAGGTTTGGCAAGAGAAGGCAGGGGAAGGGAGAAGTGGGGTGGGAGGGATGGCGGGGCGTGGCAATATCGGGCCACATGAATAATATTTTGCCCCCAGGGACTGTGTTCAGGAGCATGAGCAGACCACAACTAGGATAAACGAGGGGTATTTTTTGGGTAATGACGAGGGTAGTTTATTACTAGAAGGATTGGGGTTTTTTTGGCTGGGCGATGCCGATGGTAATGCCGGTGGCGATGCCGAAGACGATGCTGATATGGGAGAGGGGGGGGGGTGCTAAGGAGGGTTCGAAAGTGGAGCGGGTACGCACGATGCATTTGGTTTGCAGGATCTCGGCGATCGCCTTGGGTCTAGGGACTTTGCGGTCTAACACCTTTTTGTCTTCTCCTACATTAGTATATCTCCATTGTATCCCAGGTACTGTATGTTGGAGGTTTCCTACGTTTGAGCTTTTGGGGCGAGGAAAACGGTCTGCTCGAAGATGCACGACCTCAGAACCCAACCCCCCGACATAATGCTTGACGAAAAGATTACTCGTAGATAAATGATGGATCATTGGTGCATCACATGCGAACTCTTATTGTCACACAGCCTGTCCTTGGCTTCCAGTCGCTGCGCCCGTCATTAGCGCGAGGAACGGCCCCAGCCTTCCGGACCAGTCATGCGGAGTATGATGTAAGGATTGTCTACCTAGTGCTAGTTACATATAACCGCAGCCAACAAAGAAGGAGCTCGTAACTGAATCACATGGTCACAACATGCTTCTAGTCATACTACTCTCGCAACCTCTTGCTTCCCAACCCCCTTCTTTTGCAAGTTAGAGTGGCACTCTCTTCAATATCGATATCGACTTTCCATCTCTCGTTCCAGCGTGCCTAGGCCCCTCGGCCCCTCGGCATTCATGGCACTCTCCGGGTGACCCAGAATAATGGCCTGTCTGGCGCCGTACACAACTCCGTCGTCGCCATCATCAAGCGGGACGGTCAGATCGCCTTCTCTCTCGCCGCCGCCCTCGCCCTCCCACTTGAGAAACTTGTCAAACGCAGCCGTCCCTCGGACACTGCCCTTTTTGTCGTAAAATTGAATCATACTGCGCATGGCCTCGATCCAGCGCGCGCACTCCTTGCACACGACCATGCCTCTGCTGACATAAGTGCGGCGTGTTGGGCCGGCGCATCTTACAGCTGCGAGCTGGTGGTCGGGCAGGGTGGAGTAGTCTAGCTCAACGGTATAGGTGTAGGAGCCGGAGCTGGAAACCGACGTCCTTGGCACCGATGCGCCCGACCGCCAGGAGCTGGTCGATGCACTGGTGTTGGATCGCGAGAGCTGGCCGCTCAGCGAGAAGAAACGTCGTGTTGACGAACTGCGCTTGGGCGGCGCTGTGGCTGGTGGGGATACTGGTGGAGAGCCCGGTCCGCGGAGGTTGTTCAGCCGCTGGATGGCCTGGTCACATAATGTCCATGGATGTTCATGTGACTCTCCAATGTGCCCGCAGCCGTTATGCTGGCTGTAGTTGTGGTAACACATTGCTGTGGTTTTCTGGGTCCGGCGTGTCTAATTGTCGCCGATGACGTAATGCCGGTATCCGATGCACTTCGTTGTCGCCAAGCAAGGTAGAATCTGCAGGGATCAATGGCGTTGTTCTGCAGTGGAGTGGCCGGTATTTAAGTGAACTGCCGAGCTAAGAAAATGTAGTGTGTGTGAAGGGGGTGATTGTGTGCATGCAAAATGGCCAGTAAATGGCTGCAACCTGGGGATATTTGAATTGTAAAATGTGCCACTTGTGACTCTTAAGCTGATCGTTCGCCAACGCTCCTGTTATGCCCTGGTGCCCTGTTTATCGCCGGGCGGTGAAGCGATACGAGCAAGGATGAAGCTGGTCACGTGCCTCTATCGACGTGGCATAGGGCCAACGTCTGGCTGAGTTGATAGACGCCAGTCTTCCTAGAACGTGGAAGCGCCAGCACTCGGCTTATGCATCCCAAAATTAGACTTCTGCGCAGTGTGGACATCGCAATAGGGGGGTTGCTGTCCAACTGTCCTAGGATGCCTTGTCTTGCGTAGCGCGACAACTGTACTAGCAACGCGCGTCAGTGGTGACAACAATGAAGAGTGAGTTTTCACTCTTCTTATCTTTGAGACAACAAACTGACTGATTTTGCCTTTGTTGGTCATACACAACTCATTGCGCCTGGTGTCGCAATGCCTTGCCCAATGACATCATAGCACTTGGGAGCCGGTAAAAGGCCGGGCTGCATTCCTTCATGACATGGCGGGCTAACCAATTTTGAGTATCTCAACCGTGTCGAGTTGCAAGAGATAAGGGACCCAGGTAAAGATAGTAGGTACAAAGAGCAGGGAAGACGTCATTCAGCATCGCGCAAGAATGTTGGGTTTTGAAGCAACATCCAGACCATTGATGATGCGGGGATTTGCAGACCCTGTTCGAGACATTTGCTGTGGTTGGCGCATAATTGCTCAAAGGCTTCCCTTCTCGTATCAACGATAACCGATCAGTGGCGAAGCTTTTTCTAACTTTCTCCACCAGACCGAGGTCATTGGTCTGCAGCTACGGGGTTTGGCCGTAGGGCCAGCAACATGAAAACATCTCGTATGCTTCCACTTCATGATAAGTTGACCATTCAGAAACGAAGTCTTTTTTGTTGACTGATTCAGAGTGCAATGATAGTTGAGCTCTTGGGCCCTTCATTGCGCGTCGTATGTTGCCTTATGGTACAGATGCGTGAGAAAAGTTTGGGCCGCATCCGACCATGTCACTCCCCTTCCCCACCATTTCAGACCCACCTGGTCCCTGCATAGAAACGGCGATGCACGAAAATTCTAACCAAGATTGTCAATCTAACATTCGGAACTCATAGAGAGCGCCGTTGAGATTCTTTCGTTATGCTTACCAAGCAGTCACACCATGTGGGTTTCAGGAAAGAGCTTTCTAAACTCAATCGCGACATGCATTGGCCAGTCAGGTAGAAGGAATTCTGAGCGCCCATAGCAGAAAAGGATCTGAGACTTTTCTTCTTAACTCATTAGCCCTGTAGGCCTGTTGAGAAGCAACTTACTACCACACTGATCACCAAGGGCCAGGTCTTAGCATGGTGAGGGAGAATGTCGTGGCGCCTGTTGATACCAATACCTCGTCTTGACATTAATGCTTGACGGGCAGCTGACATGATGTAGATCGTTCATGCAGTCATCTCACTGGGTCGTCGAGACGACGTTTGGGCTGATCAGAAGAAGAGATAGGGCACCGCCGTACCGGAAAATAGCTCACTCTCTAGATCAAAGTCGACAATCGTGACTAGTGCAGGACGCAAAACTTACCAGAAGAAATACCATGCTATCTCGAAACACCACAGTCATCACGGGATGAACATCGGGTAGCAAAAATTCCCCTTTTGGGACGACGTAAGCATCGCAATCCGTCCAATGACAGTCGCCTGTTGAACCACACGAGGCGTCATGGCGTGGCTCAGCCAACTGACAAAGCCCAACGCAACAGGAGGGGTAAGCAGGCGCTAGCGATCAAAGCGGTAAATACACATCAGACTTCACAAGTCGGTTGCTAAGTCCATCCAAGAAGATGCACTCGTTTGCGTGCTACGGGTATCTAGATGGCTTTTGAGGTACATGACGACCTGCGGACTTCCACCCGCAGCTGATGCGCTGTCGATAGATTATTTCATACTTCGCTTCCCCGAAATGAATCAGGCCTCCAGTCCAGAAATGTACTTGACGACTATAAAGGATGAGTGAAGGGAAGGCTACAATGGCATTCCACCACATCAACAACAGCCAGTATTGAAGTCCAGCTACTCTAAAAAAATATTCTTCCTATATTGATACATAAGCTATCACCATCTACCACAAAACCCAACCCCTCTATCTACCTCTACCCTCAACCCCCCCCACCAAAAATGGCCCTCCCCATCCGCAAAGTCCTCATACCCACCCACGGCGACCCCTCCGTCGTAACCCTCACCACCACCACCCTCCCAGCCCCCTCACCCACCCAAGTCCAAATCAAAATCCTCTACTCCAGCATGGGCGGCGGCGACATCCTCATGCGCCAAGGCATCTACCCCTTGCAACAAAAAGCGCCTTTAACCCCCGGCTACACACTCATCGGCCGCGTCTCTCAAAACGGTTCTCGCGCTAGAAAGTTTGCACACGGAGCACTAGTAGCGTGTCTCTGCGTGTACGACGGCCAAGCTACATATTCCAACCAGCCCGAGAAATACCTTGTTCCGGTGCCTGAGGGGGTGGATTTGCAACAGGCGGTCGCGCTGGTGCTGGATTGGAGTACGGCATATGGCCTTGCGTACCGGGCTGCGGAGATTGGGCCCGGGAAAAAGGTGTTTATACACGGGCTCAGTGGCAGTGTGGGCTTCGCGCTGCTGACGTTTTGTAAGAGGCAGGGCGCGAGTGTGTATGGGACTGCTGCGGCGCATAATCATGCTGTGGTGCGGGAAGCGGGTGCTACGCCGTTTGTGTATACCGATAAGGAGTGGATGGGGGTAATGAAGGCCATGGGCGGCGCGCATGTGGTGTATGATGCGTTGGGGTTTGCGTCGTGGGATGAGAGTTGGAGTATCTTGTCCTCGGACGGAGGTCATCTGGTGGGGTATGGAGGGAATCTGAATTCGCTGAATGGAGACAAGCCGAGGGGGAATACTTTGCAGATTGCGAAGTTGTTGGCCAAGGGGAAGGTGCCGTTTTGTCCGTATCGGACGTCGTTTTTCTATATTGATAGGGACCAGAAGACGTATAGGCCGGAGTTGGAGGCGTTGTTTGAAATGCTGGCGAAGGGGGAGATTAAGGTGCCGGTGAGGAAGGTGTGGGGGTTGGAGGAGGTGCCCGAGGCGCATCGGGTTTGGGCAAAAGGGCCGGGAGTTGGGGCTGTTGTGGTGAAGGTGGCGGAGGATGGGGCTTAGGTTGTAATAATTAATAACATATCAGTGTAGCTATTATACGCAAATATTCTATTTTAGAGAATTGGCAAGAGGACACTAGACCAGAGCATTCGGATTAATACTGGGATAAGGAAATTGACAGTAAGAGATCCGCGAGCAACTAAAGCACACCCTCGATGAAGAACTCATTCCTCGTTGCCCATCACTGCGCCATCACCTATCAGCATACTCTCCAACGCTCCACCTACGGGGCCTCCTTAACCGCAGGCACAAAGGCCTCCTCACCTCCTCCCATAATAGCCTTCTGATGGATCGGCTTCTGCACAGTTGGCGGTTCCTGAGGCGCAGGCTGAGCCTCCGGGGGCGTAGGCCTCAACCCACTCGTAAAAATCTCATCCGCAATCTCAATGCCCAACGGCACACCTCCAATCGGGAATAAGCCCTCACAACCCTCACGTGTACCTTTGGTTGAGTACCTAACATCTTCCACGTTCTGGAACACAGTCGCACCATTAGCATCGACGGCATAGACGTCCTTTGTTGTCGTGGGGATGAGGATATCGCGGGCAGCAGCTGCATCGAAACGCCAGTGGACACCCAGGAAAATTCGTGAAATGGCGTTTTCGAACATAAGTTCCCAGGCCGAGTTGAAGTGTCGCACGACGCGGGTGCGTACGATACCGGGCTGGTCTTCGATTGGGGCGGTGGGATCGTAGCGTTGGCGTAGGTCACGGCTTAGACCGTTTAGCTCCTCGGATACTACCATGTCGATGGCAATGTTGTCTGGCTCGTCGTCGTTCCATGTTCCTACGCGGCCGTTGTAGTATCTACGCACCATTTGGAACACGGCGCCGCCAAAGGTCGCGTGACCAGACGGGTAGGCAGGGAATGGCGGCTTGAATGGGATGTCGTTTGTGTTTGTGGCGGGCGCGCCGAGTGTGAGCCAGAAAGGATCTCCGTGATCTGGACGCCCGTCCTCACGGACGCCAGATAGTGGGCGCCAGAATTCAAACTCCCATTTTTCCTTCCAGGAGAAGATGCCTGCGTCGGCGCAAGCGACGTTGACGAGGCCAAAGAGACGCGCGAAGTCTGCGTTGTTCACCTCACTGTTTACAAGGTCGTCTTCTTTCTTGTAAGTGACGGCGATACGGCGCACTATCTGGTTGTATTGACGAGGTGGTGTGCCGATGAGGTTTGAGCCGTCATACGCCCAAAATATACCTTGTACTGTCTGGTACGGAGTACGTTTGGTGGAGTTGAGACCAGTGGCGCCTCCCATGGCAATGGCGACGCGGATTGAGTCATCATACTCGGTTGACTCGTCCGTAGCAGATCGTAGTCCTGGCGGGTCAGCAAGGATGTGTTCACTCTGCGTGGCGAAACGTTTCGCAGTCTTTCCGTAGAATGGGGCGTGGTACTGGCGGAATGGTCTCTTAGGCCCATTAGGGTTATTGGGGTCTACTGGGACTAAGACGACAGGGTGGGTAGGCTCATCATTGAATCTGTATCGTCCGGGTGTAGGTTGGTAGCCTTCCTGCGATGCACCTGGTGCATGGAAGAGGAGTGCAAAGAACACATCTGCCACGGCTTCACCAAACAAGAAACTGGCTGAAGCCCGATCGACGCCACCGGGTGCTTCCGCAGCTGATCGGTCAAGAACAAGCCCGAGCTGTGCATAAGCGTTGTCGGAGATGTTGGCAGGCGGCATATCAGGTTTCATGTACAACGAGGAGAGCATTTTGAGAGAAGCCCCAGCCACGGCTTGACGAGCATCATCCGCTCCATTGAGGTCGGGGAGACGGTACGCGGCATCCTCGGCATTGGGCGTGAGAAATGTCAGGATGTCAGCCGAAGGGTTGATAGCAAAATAAGCGTCGTGAATTGCCAAGTGCAACATGCCGAGAGCTCTGGCAGATATGGGTGGTCCCGTCTGAGGACCTCCCACAGTGTGTGTTACACGGTTGAGCTCTAATCCGACATGATTCCAGTAGAGTACGTAATTCGTGTTGTACTCTTCTGGTTCATCGATCCTGGGGAGCGGAATGGGTGTTATTGGCTCCATTGTAAGCGTGCTGGTGTGTGAGATTGTAATGAACTGTTGAATTGCGATGATTGTGATGCAGTTGAAACACAGGAAACCACAGCATATATAGACAATATTGAGTTCTCTCTCTTCCTGAAAGGTCCTAAACAATACCTGTCCTCCAGAATAGCCAACCCACCGCTATCAGGTGAGCTGTTTTCGAGCCACACTGTTACGGAGGACTGTCATCTTCATGTCAGGGGCGCAAGGCAGACACGGGACCACAGCCGTGTCGCAGCGTTGCGGTGAACCATTGTCCTTATTCGAACATTGTGCTAAGTTGTAACCAAGACGTGTCTAGAAGGATCAATTGGGCTGCTCACACTTGGCGTAAACCACATGTGATAAAAAAAATGCTGTCGACTTGTAGGAGCTGAGGTGGCTGAAGCTGACTTGAGTAAATTTTTGATGGTCAGATCTGACGTATTTCTCAGCTGGTAGGGGGCCGCATGACGGTTCTGGGACTTCGCAGCCAATGCGAGCAATTTTGAGCATTTGCATCGAAGGACCTTCGTATTGCGAGGCGCAAAACAGAGGAGGTGAGATGCGACTTTGGCGCCTGCTGATGTTTCATTGGATCGTCTCATGGCTGAGAGAAGGCAGCGAGAGCCAGATCCCCGGGATCCGGTGGTGTAATGATGCGCCAACCCCACAGCCGACAAGGGGCAAGTATAACGCGCAAACGGCGTCGATTGCGTTCACTGTTCTACAAATACCCAGGGTTCGTGAAACCCTACCAATCACATATGCAGTGCAGTAAGTGTGAGAACGCAAATAAATCTCAGATGATGCTGAGGCTGAACACGTACATTCTGGACGACCTTGGACCTGCATCTGCGCTGCATGCATGCAAGCAGCAAATAGCGGGATGATCCCCGTTGCTAAAATGCAGGTCAAAGGTGGGTGTGGGTCTTAGTCTTAATCCGCTGTCTGCCCCACACAATCAATCTACCCCCACGTGGGAAATGTGCTGCTATGCCTCGACCTGTTGCGATTCTATGGTGATCATGTAAGCATGCCGTACTGAGAACACGGCGAATGGCTTTTGCGAAGTCAATTCGTGGTTCCTTTCAATACCCTTGCCCATTTCAGACAACCATGCTGAGACATGGGCCTAGCGAGGAAATGCAGAGCGAGGGGCGGAGGGTGAGACAAGTTCGCTCCTTCAGGGAAGGGGACGTGTGCACCATACAGGTAGGTGGTATGAACGTGACTGGAATGGTGGCGGCTGGGGGACAACAGGTGAGAGGATGAACCACGTAAACAACAAGAGACAATAAATTAGATGGAAAAAAGGACAGATTTCATTCGGACAATATGATCTGCATTTACTTTGGCCTTGCTTACGGGTCAAAAATAGGATATATTGAAACACGCCTACCACTGGCGTGACTGAAGTTGAGTGTTGACACTTCGATGGCAGCCTGGTGACAAGTGCTCGTCTTATTTGGCCTCCTTGAGCAATGCCTCTGCAGTAGCGTCTTTTTGATTCACGCTGCCACTTCTCTCTGCAGGCTTGAGCTTTCCTGCAGGAGGGGCTTCGCCACTGCTCTGGGCGGCATTCTTCAGCCTCTCAGTATCGGCAGGATTGGTGTCCTGCTTCTTCGCATCCTTCTCCTCATCGTCGCTATCCCCAAGACTGAAGGGGTCATGCTCATCGGGTTCTGGATTCGGCGCTACAGATGTCAGAGGCTGCCACTTCTTGCCACCTGACTTTCCCTGGCTCCCCGGGTTGCTGGGTGATGGGTTGCGGTAGAGAGCGTCAACCTCGTCAACGGGACCGCTCTGGGGAGGCGAGACAGGCGTTGGTTTGAAGAGATCGGGGTTAGCATGAGGGCGACTCGAGGATCGCTGCGGCACTGCTATGTGTTAGTGGCGCCGGTGATGTAGAGGCACAGTGGCTTACAGTCGTTGTCCCGCAGTTCCAGCTTGGCGAAGTCGTCGCCAATCACCCGGTTGTCAGCGTCGTAACGGTTGTGGTCTGCCGACCTCCGCTGCTCGGCTGACTTGCGGATACCGTGCATCTGATCCGACTGCGAGGGGCCAAAGTTTTGTCGCTGTTGTGGGGGCGCGGTTCGGCCCGTGTATTGGGGGTTGCCGTACCGATCGTATTCTTCCATTTCGCCGTCGAGCTTCTTGGTGAAGTTGCTGATCCATTTGGTGACTGTCTGCTGCGTCTCCTTGAAGCCTTGCTCAATGTTCTTACGGATCTCGGGGAGGTCGTCTGCAGTTTGTACCGTTAGCCGTCACAGCAGGCGCATAGGGTGCATCCAGGGGCTCACCGTCGAAGAAGCTGTACTCGCGCTCAGGCTCGCCCTGTCGCGGGCGGCTCCCCTGCTGTCGTGGCCGTTGGGGGCCAGAGCCACCCTGGCTCTCGTAGTGCTGGGCGAGTTGCCGCGCAAAAATCTCGTCCTGCTCGAGCTGACTGCGGGGCTGTGGTCGCGGTGGCTGCGGTGGAGGCGCTTCTTCTGCCTTGAAGTTGGGGTCCGACATGCCTGGACCTGTCAGTACACGTCCCCCTCTGGGGCATCGCTAGGCGGCCAACGTACTCAGCAGTGCGTTGAAGGCTGGCTCAACTTTGCCTCCACTGGCAACCAGCACGGCCTTGATGACATTGCTGTCAACGGTAGGGAAAGCCTCGATCAGCGTGTTCTGTGCCTGGACTTGGGGGTCGACGGGCCGGGGGGGCTTCGGGGGAGGAATCTCGGTTGCCTCTTCGTTAAAGCGCACGCCAGGCTTGGGCGACTTGGAGGCAGGAGGTGGTGATCCAGTATGCTCGGCAGCTGAAGCAGCGGGGGCATCGTTGTCGTCGTCAAAGTCGAGCTCACGCGCTGTCGTCGGGCTCTCTGGAGGCTGCAGCAGTTGTATTAGTGGGGGAGAGGCGTCGCAGCATGTCGCTTCCTGCTCACTTTTTCTGTGTTGGCCTTTTCCGCCATTGTTGGGCGCGGCGATATTTGCGTAGTCTGGGAGTGGCGGTGTGTGAGGTTTTGTTGGTACGTATACGCAGATCCGTATGGGTGTATAGATGTATGGGTGTGTATGCACGTATGTTGTATGTCAATATCCAACGGTGCTGCGTGCTCAGGACGGCAGGCTCGACCTTGGACCAATGCCGTGCATGGGACTGTGGCTTGGTAGGTCTCGCCGCCACTGATGACGTTTCGCGCCAAGTGGGGCTTTCCCCCCCGCACTGCACTGCTCTCACCTCCTGTGCACTCCACTACCCAGCATGTAATATACCATACAGACTTGCACAGCCACTTGAAGTTCTGCTTTCTCCAGGAAAAAACAAAGGGAAATCTTCCTCAGTAGATGTGACCTTCCAACCCCGCATTCCGCACTAGCTATCAAGCATCAGCCATCTTTCCCGTTGGTCATATATTCAACACATACACCCCCCCTCGAATATTTCTATTGGGCCAGCTTCCCCATGGCCCACCCCCAAAGGTGAAACCATGACAGCACACGGCGACAAGAATGTGTGTAACAGCATTTCAAAGTATTGAAATTGTTGCCAGATTCCAAGTCAATTGTCCCAGCCATGAGATGGTATCCTTCTGTTCAACTGAGACCTCAACCTCTTTCATAGGTCAAAATAGACACTTTCGCATCGTCTTTTGGAACATCGAAGCATGCCCTGGGCTGTTTACATGACCTCAACTCAACATCGCTGAAGCAACTTGCTAAACGTATCCAGTATGGTTGCTATCACAATGCTCGATAGAGTTTACAAGTCTATTCAGCATAGACACAGCTCAAACTCAGCGAAGGATGGGGATGGAAACAGGCGTGCCATTATGATATCAACATGGCTGGCTTGTTTGGTTACGGCAAAGAGTACCGCGTTACGGCTGGTACGCAGGCAGCGGAAGAGCCGGGTTCCCACAGTGTAAATCTCCGAATATCAAATGTTTAGGTTTCCAGGAACATAACTGACGAACGCGGGCAGGACCATGCATTGCGCCATGTTGCGCCTGCATACAGTTCTTCTTTAGAGTATTCTAGAGCTGAGGCGTCCAACGCCATCGATGTAAGACCCTCGAGTACTATATACAGATCGGCGGGGCGAAGCTTTTGCTAGCTTGGACAGAGACGAGTGGGTGGTTGGCTATGTTGGATTATCTTACGATGATGCTGGTCAATGGGTCGCCACACATTTCGCTTTTTGGCTCGCGGATGATAATCAAGGTTCAGGCGGAGCGCCCCGAATAAGCCATGGGAAAGCTCAATGAGAACAAGGGCCGATTCAATGAAGCTAGAGCGTGATAGCGGATACAGTAAGCGACCGACTTGTATAGTAGTGGCAGATGACCGACTCGCCCAGACCTTATCAGAAACTTCACGTGTGATGCACTCGTACGTGATGGTCTTCCATAGTGCCTAAGGCATACAACACGGCGTAGAGGCTGAATTCTCCCCGGTTCACGATCTGCTGTGGTCAGGGCTAGTCACAGCTCCATGACAAGTCTCCACCCAACACCTGTCTCCAGTCTTGTCTGCAGGGTTTTTTTCTTTCTCCGTAGATGCGGATGTGCAACACGGCTTCTCCATCTCGGCTCCACATCACCAACTCATCACAAACCACATACTTACTACAAACAGCCTTAGTGTATGTGTGCTAAGTATGCATGCCCGCCAACTGCACGCATGTCTGCATCCGTATTCTGCCCTACGGACACGAAACAGCAAGGTGACAAGAGGACTCTATGCCGACCAAGACGCGTCACTGGTCCTGTTAGCGCAGCCATTCTCGTGTCTGCGATCTAGAAGGCATTCGAGAGAAATACAGATGTAGGTTTTGCTTAGGGTCATTCTCCTTATTCTATAGATTTGCGGGTCTGAGTAACGCTAAGTGGCTAAGCACAATACCATTACAGAAATGGTGTGGAGTAACTTTTCCCTCCATCTTCCAGTGCGAGCTTGATGCTGCCGCCAGCCGGCTCCTCCGTGCCTGGGCGGAAGCGTGTTTCACGCGCACCCATGTTCCTTGTGGACGCATTTGGCCGGCCTTACACCTCCAGCAACCTTAGGCATGCGCTAGTCGCCTTGTTCCGTATGTACATTTGCTTCTACTCTATTCAACAGCCTGGAGAAACCTGCCATAGTGGGTCACGTCTCCATATTACAGCCCCTGACTGCTTTCTTTGCCGAGCGTAGAACCGAACTGATGGATAGTGACAACAGCACTTTACCCACATTCTCGGATGGCGCGCATGCATCTCGTCGATCACATGTGCCCACACCACATGGCTACTTACTTGCTATATACACACGTGTATGTACCAGTACATAGGGTACTACATATGTATCCTAACCTACGCTCAGACTCAAGCCTGCGCCGACCGTTTGCCGGTATGGGCCACCAAAATCCTCTGGCCGATTATGTCGCGCGGCTCCCAACAGCAACTTGCCCAAATGGCAACATTTGCTGCCAGGCACGCTCATCTCCTCGAGCCCACCGTCGACCTCCCACAACCAAGTTTTGTGCGAACCAAACTTAGGCTTCCGCAGAGCATGGATGTCAAGCTAATTGTCGGTCGCGGAGATCTCGCCGCACCTACCAACCAGGCCGCTAGCAGCTAGACAACAGCAGCCCTTTCACAAGCCACCGCAAATTTGTCTACTTACTACTATGATGCTGGTACCGGGGCGCGCGCTATCCTCTTGGACTGTGCTCTCTGAGCCGCTACGCGTGTCATAACCGAACACTCAGCCCTGGGTCTTTTCTCCGCTGTGGGTTATGGTAATGCACGCTTGGGATTCGTCTTGATTGCGAAAACTTCATATCCTAGACAGAAACACTATGCTTTGGCTAGTGACACGCATGCTGGACCATTTGCAACGGCGATTCTCACTGATCCGCAAACTTTGTAAATCCCCCGCAAACGGGATGCCCTTCCTCTTCCCCCATCCCAGCTTGGTTTGTTGCAGGGCCACGCTAATCGGATGGGATCCGTGCCGAGCGCAGGTTGAGCGAGGCACTTTCACCGAAAACGTCTAAACCATCGGAGCTGTCGCAAGACGACCGCCACGATTAACGAAAGGATCAACCGTTGGGCTCCATCGAATCCACACATGTAACAGTCCAGGCCAATCGAGATAGCTGCTGCTCCAGCTCTTAGCGTGCATACGACAGCGTGGAACCTTATACTGACTCGATAGTTTCCAAAGTCGCCGCTTCATCTCCTGCGTCCTACTAGTTGCCGCTGTGATGGAACCTAGTCCTAGAGGAGACTTGGCGGACCCTTTGCCATCTGCCCTGCCAGCTTCTCTTATCACACATCCATCGGATATATCTGGTATCCTGCTGGCAAGCGAGCTCTCAGCTCTTCAAGTCGTTCTCTCGGCTATTCACCCCCGATACCCCACACCATGAACCGTGAATTCCGGGATAATCCGTCGTTCAAGGCCTGGGGTCCCTTCATCTCACCAAACTACCACAATGAGGCCATCACAAGATCTGACATTGTCATCGCCTCCACAGTATGGGCGCTCACGTTGGTCAACATCATCATCGCCTCCTTTCTGGCCGTCAGACAAACCAAGGAATCCCGAGCCCCCCTCAAGAGTATATACATCTGGATGATATGGTTGGAAATGGCCGTCTGTTTTGTCATGGGACTCGAGTGCTATCTGCATCTGCTCAAGTTCATCAGTCCAAGTATGTATCGTGTGGTTCTGTGGTTGAAGATTGTCTGCTGACAGTTGACCAGGTTTCGCCTTTTACTTCACCATCCTGTTCTGGTGGTGTATTCAGGTTCAGCTGCTGCTGCAAATTATCATCAACCGTATTCGTGTCATTGTACCGGATCGCAACCGTGGAAGATGGATCATGATCGCAACAGCTACATTCGTCACAGCAATCAACATCAGTGTGTTTAACATCTGGATTCCCGCCCGGTTACAGATCAACTCCACGTAAGTTGTCACCCGACTCATGCATCTTGTCCTCCATGACTCTTGGTTTCGAGTCTCAAGATTCAGAGCTAATGCCAAGAAAGATATCACATTGCCAACGAATACTGGGATCGTATCGAAAAGGGTCTCTACCTGCTTGTCGACGCCATACTCAACTGGTTCTTCTTGAAGACTGTCAAGGAAAACCTTATCAAGAACGGTCTCACCAAATACAACTCGCTCGTGCGCTTCAACCAGAAAATTGTCGTCCTCTCGCTGCTCATGGACGTCATGATTATTGGCGCTATGTCGATCCCGAACTCCTTTGTGTAAGTCTACTTTTCGCTTCATATAGAAAAGTCAATATATTAATACCGCATTGCAACAGCTACATCCAATTTCACCCGCTCGCCTACATGGTCAAACTCAACATCGAAATGACCATGGCCAACCTCATCAAGCGCATCGCAATCTCCACCTCGCGCAAGACGGGCATGCACTCGATGGCCCAAGAATTCCGCTCCTCCTCCGAACTCTCCACCGGCCACAACACGGGCAGCGCCTACCACCGCACACAGCGCGCCTCGGTGCACGAGCTCTCGAGCTTCGTCAGCTGCGACGCCGACACCAAAACCGGCGACCGAGACCGCATCGTCAGCTTCGCGCCCGTCGGCAACCAAATCAAGAAGACGCGCGAAGTCATCATCCGCAGCGAGGTCAACCCCTACTTCCAAAAAGACGGCACAGAAGTCGAGGTCACTAGCGGTGGCGGCGCCCTGCATCACCGCACTAAATCCGGCAGTGGCGTCGTCGTCGAGGAACGTGTTGTTGCGCGCCGCAAGAGCATGGACAGTATAGCTGAGGGCAACGAGAGCATGAAGAGCACCGATGCGAATAGCAAGAAGCCTGATGATAGCGACGATGAGACGGCGCTTGTGGGGAATAAGGCGTGGTGGCCCCGTGTGGAAGAGTAGTTTGTACCTTTCACACGTATGCGCCCGTTCCACCTTCCCCCAACCCTCCTTTTTTCTCTCGCTCTCTCACTTTCTCTTGACTGTTTAGACTAAAAGAAAAATCATTTGCATCATATCCTTTCTTTATTTTTACTTGGCTCATGACCAGATTTATGTTTTTATTTACGTATGTATGTTTCGCTAATTTCTATTGAATTATCGCAAATGAAGAGTGTGGGAACTGGAATCTCTGTATATACCCTGTCTTTCTTTTCTTTTTTGGGTTCGAACGCCTTTTGGGCCTGTGTATACAGATAGACTTACATACGAAGCTACGTAAACTCTCTCTCTCTTTTTCTCTCCCTCTCCGCGGTATCGTGATTCGCTCCTGCGTACTTGTTCTCCATGTTTCTTCTTTCGCATGCACCCCCCAGCCTGTCTTTCTGTCTGACTGTTTCCCTGCATCAGTACGTATACCTGCGTTTCCTCTTAACAAGTACCCCTCATAAGAAGATGAATATACCCAAGTAATCCGGCATCGTGAAACATTCACCCCCGCATCGCCTCCTCTTCTCCCCTCTTTTCTCTACGCACATCTTGTATCCTGCGTCGCCGTCCTCCTCCCCTTCCTCTATCATCATCTCTTATTTTCCTCTAACTTTCCCGACTCGAACCAAACTATCATCTTTATGGGGAGCTGAGGCATATTTGTTGCTCGGTATATGGTTCGATGTCCGCTCGTATCTCGACTCCGAGACGGGGAACCAACTCTCCCCCCTCCCATCGGCCCGCAGATCCCTGGTTCGCGATTCCGAAGGTTCCGCTGCGGCGCGCGTGGGCGATTGCGTGTTCTGTGCGGGGGTTACAATCGAGGAGAGGGACAGGGGCAGGTGCGCCGGGTGGGTGAAGGGGTGTGTTTTGGATGGGCTGGGGGATGGTGATCGGATAGGTAGGGGTGTGAGGTTGGATGGTTCCGTTGTATGGATGGACAAATGGATGAAATGGGGTTGGTGTGGTGGTTGGGGTTGCAAGGGGTAAAAGGGGACGGTAGGGCTGAGTGGCTTGCCTTAACTTTTGTGAATGGGTTGATGTGGTAAGAGCTAAAGGGATTTAGTGTTCTGATGTATCGTGTTAGATTTTAGTTTTGCAATGTTTGCAAGATTGACGTTACTAGAAGAAAACGCACGGTTGATATTGAAAGTAATAGATTTTTGCTTCGAATTTTGCTGTGGTCATTCTGGAAGTTGGTGTTAAGGATCCCAGATTCTGCAGTTGGAGATTCTCACTGATTCAGAACAGACAGTGGTGTTGCGCTGAGAGGTATGAGCGATGCTACGACCTCTGTTTCGACAATATCTCGAGGAATACTGCGAGAGGGTCGAAACTTTACCAGTTGTATCTATTCTTTGGCAATGCAATTGATAAGCCAAACGCATATTAATTCCGCCAGTATCATTGTGGTAATGGATCGACTTCCTCTTTTCGGTAGGAAAGTTCCACTCCACACTCTAAACCCTGAACATGTAGGGCTAATCTTCTTCGTTGACTATATTGGATTTCAGAAAATCGACAGATCAACTGAATATACCGAAAAATACTGAAGTGGAATTTCTCGGTATCATGTCGTGCATGTGTGAGCTTCTTAGTCGAGTTTGAGCAGGATCTGCGTAGAGCAATGAATCTTAGCCCCAAGACATTGGCCAATGTTAGAACTAACCACTTTTGCCTAAAACTATTGAATATATATTCTTTCACAAGTTAAATAAGATGGCCATAGGGTGTGATCGTATCGTTGTATAAGTGAGGCTTGCTGGCAGCCAGCTGAAAAGGTAAGTTCAAGGATTGGCGTCGACGAGTCAGACCCATGGTGTTCCGTAGGCCTGTCTGAAAATTCGCCCGAGAATCCTTGACGTTTCCCCAGACTGGCAGTTCTGTTGACAGGTTCGTCACCACATAGTAGTATCGGCCGTAAGCCACTCGCACTGATGCGTAATGTCCATGACTCCTTATGCTGGGTACGTATACTTAGGTACGCCCCACTTTAGTTATACCCTGCTGCCAAATTGCACTGACCGAAAAAAATACGCCACATCAATCAAGCTCGTACTTGTTATCGTCCAGCGTGGTATGGCCGCAACCCAGGCTCCCTGCCTGGACCATGGGATGGTCGAAGCGCCATATCGGATTGGTTCGCGCCCCGAAATCGAAAATTTCGGTCAAATGGCGTGCCGACAATACAATTAGCCTTACTACACAGTAGTAGGCAATGATCAAGTTTTTTGTACCATTGGAATCTGGCTGAGCTTGCGTAATAAGTGGAGTGGGGATCGTTTGGGGGTGTTTTGCGATGGGCAAGGGGCTTGCTTACGTGAGACCAAGGGCTGCCGGAACCCTGGTGTTTGATCCTCAGCGCTACGCAGATGATCGGCAGGATACCGTCCCAGGGACATTCCAAGTCGATGCCTGGAAGAACATGACCTTTGTACCTCTTTTCCCTTGGTCCCGTTTGAGCGATTGGTCCAGGACAGAGTCCCAACTTGGGGTGTGCGGTGTTCGGAGTGCGGTGCGGGGTATGGCGGGCCAGGCTAGGGCCAAAGGCAGTGAGACAGCTATTGTCTCCACGGAGGCCATGCGCTGCCCCTCCATCCCCGCACATTCTCTCCAAAGAAGGTTTGGCGACTATGACTTTTACATACTGCCTATTCCTCTTTCGACACTACACCCAGCAATTAGACGCGTCTACGGGTTGTACCAAGATGGGATACCGAACTGACTTTACCAGCTGACTACACTTCTTCTGGCTTTTAACCTTCATCAGCCTGCGTATTGTCTCGTCACCGCAACTCGCTCATTCTCATCACATCAATCTTAAAGCATTCGCTTCAACATCCTCCGCACTAAACACACCGACGTCATGGGTGTAGGTGACGCATCCATCCCCTCGAGCGAGCGCCCTGAGCTTGGGTCTGTCAATCTTCCATTGGGTGCATTTCCAGCCTCGTCAACCAGCCAGTCTGTCGATGCTGCCAAGATCGCCGACGAGGTCGTTGCCCGCTTCAACAATGCTATTTCGAAGAAAGACTATGCAGCTGTCGCGGACCTTTTCTGCAAGGAGAATAGCTACTGGAGAGATCATTTGGCTCTTTCTTGGGAACTCCGGACAGTAAAGGGTAGCTCGGGCATCAAAGCATATCTAGACTCTAGCAAAGTCCAATTGACAAAACTCCAAGTCAGCAAGAGCTCCGAGTTTCGAGCCCCAAAGTTTGGTGCGATAGACCTCCTCGGTGAAGTCAGGGGCGTCAACTTTTTTGTGAATTTCGAGACGAGCATTGGTCGCGGCGAAGGTGTAATGAACCTGGCTGATGACAATGGGCAATGGAGAATCTTTACGCTCTATACTTTGCTACAGGAGCTCAAGGGCCACGAGGAGCCTCTCAATCATCGCAGAACCAAGGGCGTAAAGCATGGTGGTGACCCCAACAGGAAGACCTGGAAAGAGATGCGGGATGCGGAAAGAGAAGGCATTGACCCTACAGTACTCATCTTGGGAGCTGGGCAGGGTGGGCTTACAGTCGCTGCACGACTGAAAATGCTTGGCGTACCCGCATTGATGATCGACCAGAACGAAAGGGTGGGTGACAACTGGCGCAAGCGCTATCGGCAACTTGTACTACACGATCCAGTATGGTATGACCACCTACCATATGTGCCTTTCCCTGCGCATTGGCCAGTATTCACACCCAAAGATAAGCTTGCCGAGTTCTTTGAAGCGTACGTAACCCTTCTTGAGCTCAACGTTTGGACTTCCACAACTATCAAGTCAACTTCGTGGGATGAGGGTAAGAAGCAGTGGGCGGTGACGGTCGAGCGCCGAAAATCGGACGGGAGCACTGAAACGCGGACACTGCACCCGCGACATATTGTGCAGGCGACTGGCCATTCGGGCGAGAAGAACTTTCCCAAGATAAAGGGCATGGAAAGCTTCAAAGGTGACCGCCTATGTCACAGCTCTGAGCACCCAGGCGCGAATCCAGAGTCAAAGGGCAAGAAAGCGATAGTCGTGGGAAGCTGCAACTCTGGTCATGACATCGCACAAGACTTCTTCGAAAAGGGCTACGATGTGACTATGGTTCAACGTAGTACAACATGCGTGGTTACCTCCAGCTCTATAACTGATATCGCAAACAAGGGCCTCTACGACCAAGACTCACCACCTGTCGATGATGCCGATCTTACCTTTTGGAGTATGCCAAGCGCATTGTTGAAATTGATACAAACCAAGGTCACTGCAATCTCAGCCCATGCTGACAAGGAAATTCTTGATGGTCTTCGTAAAGCTGGCTTCGGCCTGGATAAAGGACCGATGGACTCAGGCTTGCTTATGAAGTACTTCCAGCGCGGTGGCGGCTATTACATCGATGTCGGTGCATCTCAATTGATTATTGATGGTAAGATCAAGATCAAGCAGGGCCAGGAGATTTCTCAAATCCTACCTAACGGCATTGAGTTTGCTGATGGCGATAAGTTGGAAGCTGACGAGATTGTGTTCGCAACCGGGTATCAGAACATGCGTACCCAGGCACGAAAGATTTTTGGTGATGAAGTCGCGGACCGTGTGAATGATGTTTGGGGCTTCAACGAAGAGGGTGAGTTCCGGACCATGTGGCAGAAGAGCGGGCACCCCGGTTTGTGGTTCATGGGCGGCAATCTTGCTCTGTCTCGTTACTACAGCAGGATCTTGGCATTGCAGATCAAGGCTATCGAGGAGGGGATTGCAGGTGCTTCGGGGTCAGCTGCAAAGGCAAACCTATAGATTTATAGTGTCTCTTAGACCATACATAATCCAAGACTTGCTAGAAGTTTCAACACGCCATCCGCAGTGGTGCTTGTCCCTCTGAATTTTACCTATTTGTCACCTAGCGCGGGGCACAACTCCACTTCCAGGCATCTCGATACGCACAAGCTCCGAATCTTCGCAAGCCATCACGTCATTGGAACGCTTATGTTCATCCATTTGTATCTTTTTCAGTCGAACAGAAGAACATACATAATACCATCTTATTAATCTCATCCACGTTTCCGTGTTGAATCCATGTCGTCCAAACCCCAAGTTGTCCTGGTCGTCGGCGGAACCTCCGGAATCGGGTATGCAATAACGCAAACCATACTTTCGGGCCCATATCTCCCGCTCAACACCAAAGTAGTAGCATTCGGCCTCATCGACTCGAGCATAAAACTCGAGTTTACAAAGCAGCAGAGAGAGCGGCTGCGCATTGTCGAGGGCGATGTGACGGTGGCTGAGGACCGGGAGCTGGCGATGCGAACATGCTTCAATGTGTTTGGTGGCCTCGACACTTTGGTCTACTGCGCGGGAATCATTACGCCGATTCAACGGCTGGAAAAGCTGGACATTGAGGCTGCGAAGCGGAGTTTTGATGTCAATGTTTTTGGGGCTATGAGTATGGTACGTCTTATCTTGATCTTCTTTACCTTTTCCGTAAAATCAATTTGAGCGATTACACTTGCTAAAAAAAAAGGGAAATAGGTTCAACTTGTGCTTCCACATCTTCGTGCTTCCAAGGCATCTCACCCCCATAATTATGGGCGTGGAAAAGTCATCATCCTTTCTTCAGCCTGCGATAGCGCAGTGTCGTATCACGGCTGGATGCCCTACAGCACAACTAAAGCTGCACTCACACGCTTCATTTCATGTCTCGCACATGAAGAGCCCCTTCTCAGCGTTCAGGGTGTGTATCCAAAGCTGACGCGGACGAAGATGATTGATGGGCTGGTCGAAGGCAAGTACAGAGGAGTAATGGCAGATCATGAGATTGAGAGATTCAGAATTTGGGATGATATGGGGGATGAGATAGTGGAGCCGCCTGAGTTGTGTGGAGATGCTGTTGCGAAGTTGGCGCTTGGGTTGTTTGAGGGTGGGAAGAGCGGAGAGACTTTGTATTATGATGAGCATGTTCCGAGCAAGATTGCGGGAACGTGAGTTACGTGGAATTCCGGGAAACTCTTTCTTTTATTCTGGAGTAAACTCATATACCAATCTACTTCTTCTTTATATCGTTGTCGCTTTGATACTTGTTGACGCGTGGGGTTTGATGGAATAAGACGGTTGATAACTATTTTGGAAAATAGTGTGAACAGCAGGCCACGAAGGATCTAGAGATGATACTGGATATAAGGTGGAACTATAGTGATAGTGGAGCATAAAAGGCATATTAAGATTGCGCATCAAATTACCCGATTAAGTCAGACAATATGGGAACGGGGAAAGGAAATCTGAGATAGTGCAAGGCAAGTCACGTGGCTGCCAAGAGGGTCAAGGGGATAAGGGGATGATTTTCGCAGGGGTTTGGAACATCACTGACATCCCCCAACCGCCTGATCTACAGCACTACCACGAATGCCCTTACTACTGCATAGATTTGTTACCCAAAGCTGAGGTACTGGCTTCCGATGATGGCAAATGAAGTCAGAAGTCACTTCAAGTTCCCCCAGCTACCTGGAACTCAACAAAGAATTCTTGTGACCATCACGATAGCAAACTTGTCAAGCACATATATGTAAAATCAATTGCATTGCTAATCATCCAATCTAGAGCATAAAACAAACAGGTAACAATCTATGGTTAAGAAGATGCGCTCAGCGACATACCCGACACGATTGGCACTGCCCCGTTCTGGGTCCAGCTTCACCACTGATAGCCGTATACCTAGGCTTGTGGTTGGCCTTGGCCCTGACCCTGGACAGCTCCACCGATCTGAATGATATCAGCAAAACCACCAAGACCATCACCGAGTCCACCGAGGACCTTGCCAATCTTGTGGCCGCGGCCGGGCTGAGGATCACGCTTCTGGTTCTGGCCTTGAACAGCTCCTCCAATGACGCCAAGGTCGATGGCACCGCCGACAACACCGCCAATACCCTCAAGAACGTTGCCAATAATGCGACCCTTGCTGCGCTGAGGATCACGCTTCTGGTTCTGGCCTTGAACAGCTCCTCCAATGATGCCCAGGTCGATAGCACCGCCGACACCACCGCCAATACCCT